CCTTTTTTGTCTTTTTCTCTCTTAATGTCATTAAAACATAAGACTACTCCCAGCCCTTCTGAATTCTTTATTCCCTTGATATCTTTTGAATTTATTACCCTTTTAAGGACTTGCTTGTTTCTCCTTCCCCTGTTAGAATATAAACATTTTATCATTTCATGATTACTCAGATGTGTTTACCTTTTATGTTTCTCTAGACTCTTATGTTGGCATTTCAAAGTATCTGTTTAGCTTTGGTCTCTGGGTACCTGGAAGTTTTTTGTTTCTTTTCATTTCCAGGAAGGAGGGTTCTTGCCACCTAAGTAGTACTTGGCATTGTCAAAGAGTTCAGCACCAGAAACTCATATAATTTTATCAGTGGAAATGATGTTAAAGAATAAACATTAACATCTGCTTGGCTGTTGCACCCTAAGGATCATGAGACTTTTCCATGTGGCTTCTTGTCTCCCTCATTAAAATGTGAGCTCCTTGAGGGCAGGGACTGTCTTTTCTACTTATATCCTTAGTGCTTAGCACAATGTTTTGCCCATAGTATGAGATTAATAAATGCTTCATTCATCCATCCAATCGTTAAAGATCCACTTTTCCTCTCATTAGCTTAGATTCATATCTGTTGAAGCAGATTTAAAAATGACTCAAGTTCAAAGTAATTCTGCCCTTCAAAATACAGCTGTGCAATGTCTCCGAATGCTGCCCCCAGTTAGACAGCAAAACTTCTCTAATAATGGGCTGATTGGGGAGTGGAGTGAGGGGTTAGTCAGGGGGAAGATGTTGAGATTCCAGGCCTGGGCTAGGAAAAATAAGTGCTTAGCACATAGTAGGTGCTTAATAAGTATTTTTGACTATTTACTGAGTGATTATGGAGTCTCTGGAACTGTTCCATGCCCTCGTGCCATGAACAGCAGGATACCAGGAAATGTAAGGATCAGGTTAGTCAACCCTAGGTATTTATGAGAAGCAAGATTAAATTTACTCAAAACAATCTTTAATAGAAATTTTAAAATGACACAATTAGAAATGGGTGAAAGTCCCATATGACCAAAGTATAGCAAAGGGGCAAGTGTAAGAACCATCAGTTCTTTAGTTTTTTGGGTTTTTTTCTCTCTCAGTGCTCCAGCTACTAGGTCAAGTACCAAATATAAAAACAAAGTTCTATACCTTTCTACTTATCTGTTTGGAGGTCAACTTTCATGATGTGTCCTTCAGGTGCATGGTTTTGAAGATACAAATTACAAATGGTGATGACACTGGTCACTATAGCTACAGTGCTGCCTCAGGTGTCTGGAGTCTCCTGTTACCTTTTCCTCTCCCTGTTCCCTCTTCTCTCCTTCTCCTGAAAGATCCTCAGAAACTCCTATCTATTGGGAGAAATCTCACCCTCTGGATTCTTCACCTCAAATTAATCTCTTCTGAAACTAGAAAGAAACACAACTCCCAGAGTATCTGGAAGGGCCATTAAATTTATACTGAGCTTTTTTGGGTAAGTTATTCTTTGTTGTAGACTTTTAGATTTTGCCTTCTGGAATGACATTTCAAGCTTTCTTCTCCTTTATAGTCATAACTGCCAGGTCTTGTATGATTTTGACTTGGTATTGAACTCTTTCTTTTTGGCTGATTGTGGCATTTTTTATTTGAACTGAAAGCTCTGAAATTTGGCTGTGATATTCCTTGGAGTTTTCATCTGAGAGTTTCTTTTAGGAAGTAACCATTGGATTATTCCATATCATTTTTGCCATCTGGCTCTAATAGGCCTAGGGAATTTTCATTCATGATTTCTTGAAATAAGATATCTGGGCTTTTTAAACGGCCAAGGTTTTTAGGTAGTCCAATCCTTAGATTTTCTCTCCTTGACCTATTTTGTGTTAGTTATTTTTGATACCAGACATCTCCTAGGAGATACTAGGGCAGCTATGGGTATTGTAGTAGATAGACTGTCGGGCCTGGAGTCAGGAAGACTCACCTTTTTTTTTTTAAACAAAAACATTTCTATCAACAATCTTTATTATAGCAAAGAACTGCAAGCTAATGGAGTACAATCAATTGGGCTAAACAAATTATGGTATATAGATGTAATAAGATATTAATGCACAATCACAAATGACAAAAGAGATGTTTTCAGAAAAACTTGGGAAGATTTGTATGGACTGAGGCAGAGTGAAGTAAGAACTAGGAGAGTAATTTATACAATAAAAACAACATTGTAAAGACAAATCTTGAAAGACTTTAGAACTCTGATCAAGCATGGCAAAGACTGGCTACGATTCCAGAGGACCTATGATGAAGCATTCTACTCTTTTTTGATGTTTTTGGTCATCATTTAATTTAGTGGGTTTTTTTTTGCCTTTTGGTGAGGCAATCGGAGTTAAGTGGCTTGCCCAGGGTCACACAGCTAGTAAGTGTCATGTGTCTGAGGTCGGATTTGAACTCAGGTCCTCCAGATTCCGAAGCCAGAGCTCTAGCCACTTTGCCACCTAGCTGCTCCAATTTAGTGGTTCTTTTAGATAATTTTTGGCCTGAAAGTGGGAGAGCTGGGCACCTGTTTGATCTATGGTGTGACCATGGTACCATAGTATATCAAGTTACAACTTAACTTTCTCTCCCATAGCTCCTACAGCTATGCAAAGTTTTGTGGACGGGTGGGGAAGGTTGACCTAAAGGTGTCGAATGTCTCTTCTCTGTTGCCATTGGCTTGAGCCCCAAACACCTGTGTCCTTTCTATCCCTTCTCTCATTGTTAGGGATGAATTATTAGCATCCTCATTCCATTTAACCATTCACTTAAAAATTGATATTTACTTTAAAGATGTGGTATTAAAAAACGTATAAGAATTTCCCACTCACAACACCTTAGGGACATACTCTCATCAGTTCTGGGGCAAATAGGCTCAAAACTTAGTTCAGTTCCTACGTAAACATTGGTTATACCAAATTCATGTCCGATGGTAAATAACCCCTTGTCTTAGCTACCACTGGACTGAGGTCACAAAGTCATTCCCCAAAGTTACTCCTTGTTCTGTAGGCATTGATGTTGCATTGGCTCTAAAACCCAGATTCTGAAATGGCAGGATACAGGGCACCCTCTGTACTTTTTGAAGCTCATGAGGTTAAAGACTCCAATGTCCTTCACCTAAAAGAACAAATACAACAGCTACGGGCTGGGACCCTTTCATAGGGCCATATGGCCTCTCCCTTTACAGCATGGTGTTTCACCAGATGCCATGGACGAAAGAGTCATACTACCAGGAACAGAGTATACTGTCCAAAGGACTAAGGCAAGAGCAAGATGGTAGAAGTGGGTTGACTAAGGCTTTTTGAATGTCTCAGCCCACAAAGAACCTCCAGTTCATAATGTGGTGCCAAACTAGAGCCAGTTACAAAATGTCTATATATATTCCACAGTTTCTTCAAGGCAATTCTCTTCCATATCTTGTGAACAAGTTGATGGGGGCCTGAGCATGCTTCATTAGGAAGTCCATAGGCACTTATAAATGCTTTTTTAAATTAATTAAGTTGAATTAAACCAAATGAATTTTTTTCATTTCCAGTCACAAATGTCTTTGATGATCAATGTTTTTAGACATTCTTTTGATATATATTATAATTCTTAATGAGATTAGGAGTTTTAACAAAGAACAGAGATATCAATTTGCTGATCAGTGATGGGCCTTTAGCAACTTATAAATAAAGCTCATATACTATAGTATTCATACGGTACATACGTATCCCACTTATCTGGAAGTTACTTATCCAGCAGCTTCAGCTCTTTGGAAAATAGAACACAGCTGGAAACCTGAAAGTAAAATAAGGTCTCTGAGCAGCCAACATAGGTGGCTTGTTCATTTTATACACTGGAGTTCCGCCTCAGGGTGTTACTTAACAACCTATAGCCTGTTATTTTAGAAACAACACTAACAAAGTTATTTGGCTTTCCAGTTCATAGCAGCTAATAATAAGCAATATAATTCAGAAAGATTTTTATCTAAAACGGTTAAAATGAGAAGATTTTCGTTACTTAAAGAATAATACCTTAGTGTTTTAATGCTTGTAAAGTATTATTTGTGAAGCGGGGAGTGAAAATATTACTATACTCTGTATATAGATGAGGAAACTGAAGGTCAGAAAAGTTAAATGACTGGTCCGTGATCCACAACTCCTAAGCATCATAGCTGAGATTCGATCCCCTTTAGACAATTTCTCATGTGTGGAACTCCTCCTTTCCTGAGGATTTTGCACCATAGTTCAGGCTTCTTCGTAGTGCTTTAAGGAGCCCAGACATGGAAGGAGACACCTAGTCTGGCACCCTCATTTTACAGCTTGGAGACTGAAGCTCAGGGAGGTGAATTTGTCCAAGATCTCACTAATGGTGCATGGACTGATGCTGAGTGAAGTGAGCAGAACCAGGAGAACACTGTATACAGTAAGAGCAACACCGTGTGATGACCAATTTTGTCAGACCCAGCTCTTCTCAACAATGCAAGAATCTAAGGCTTACAATTATTCTAAGACAATTCCAAAAGACTTGTGATGGAAAATGCTATCCACATCCAGAGAAAGAACTACGGAGTCTGAATGCAGATCAAAGCACTTTTTTCTTTTTTTTCTTTCCTGTGTTTTTTCCTTTTTGTTCTGAGCTTTCTTTCACAGCATGACAAATGTGGAAATATACATGATCTGACTGTACATGTATAGCCTATGTCAGATTGCATGCCATCTTGGGGAGGGGGAAGGGGCAGAGGGGGGAAATTTAGAACTCAATATTATAAAGGTAAATGTTGAAAACTAATAATAAATTTTTTTTAAAAAGATCACACATAGTAATAAGCTATGAATCAGAGTTCTCTGACTTCAGAAGAACCACTTCTTTTGCCTAAACCACTTTGCTGTTTCTCATAAATAGGGCACTTGTCACCTTTAATTTGATTCTGCATTTCAGCCAATGAGGACATTTAATAAGTAATGGATACTAACAGATGATATTTTATATTTTTCCTCACATTTTAGAAGTCTCTAATATCTGGGCAAATGTGTCAGAATTTGTGGAACGGCAGCTATCCTTACGCAAGGTAGGCTTAACATTTTCATCATCTTCATGTTGCGCGCAGATAGCAATTAGCAATTTGATACAGTAGTAAAAAAAAATCATTTTCAAACTGTGGGTGGACTGGATTCATATGGATTGTTGCCATTTGTTGTTTTTTGGTCATGTCTCATTTGCTGTCCCTTATTGTTCCAGGGGGTCCAGATTCCGGGATTTGGAACCTTCACCTTTGTAAGGCAAAGACTTGACGTGGGAAATAATAAGTTTATTCTACTTCAGAGGCCTGTGTTTGTGATAGCCGAGAAGTTCGCCCAAATGCATGGACTCAAACAAAACAAAATATTTACTCCCGGTAAATCTTTCTTTCTTTTTTCTTTTCCTTTTTTTTTTTTTAGGCAGTTGGGGTTAAGTGACTTGCCCAGGGTCACAAGGCTAGTAAGTATCAAGTGTTTGGTCTGAGGCTGGATTTGAACTCAGGTTCTCCTGACTTCAGGGATGGTGCTCTACCCACTGTGCCACCTAGCTGCCTCTTGGTAAAAGTTTCTTAAGTTTAATTAAGCCTACCTCCTTAAGAGATATAGAGAAAGGAAAAAAACTTGAAAGGGCAAAATGTGATCAACATCTGCTTTATTTGTCTCCTTCAACTTGCAGATTGTAACATCACTTATTCATTTAAACAGCAAACGTTTAGTAAGCATCCGCTGGGTGTAGAGAACAGTGTATTAGGTGTACTGGGGGAGATACAAATTTTAGAGAAGACACGGTAGTTAATAGCTCTAGCTTACAGTTTGTTAGGTGATAAGACAACTATACAATTAACTATAACAACACAATGTTACAGAATAAGCGTATTAGGAAATTACCGTGCCAAATGCCATATGAGGTCAGAGGTCCTTTATTTTTTGGGTGTATCAGGGATTGGGGCCCTATGGTAAATTAATGATATTTTAAAATCTGTCCACAAATGTAAATATTAATATTGAAGATTGTAAGTATTGTCAATATTCCCACCCCCACTTACTGGAGGGGTGGGAACGGATGAGAGTATATGGTCCCCAACAGCCCCTCCTCTTGTGAATGGGTGTTGTGGATATTTCCTGGAGGGAATTATCTCTTCTACCAGGCATAACATTCCCAAAGGGCTTAACTTCAAGTAAATTACAGCAGTTACCCCTTTTCTTTTCCCCAGCTCATAGTTGCCTCTGGACTAAGCCCTTTGTTGTTTGGAAAATAGTGGTTAAAAGTTATTTCCCCTGTAAGAATCCTTCAGAAGAGCTAACGTATTTGGAGACACTTGATTTCTTCCAGATTGCAGTGTGCATAGTCCTTTAGTAATTTGTAGCTGGTAGTTTATTTCTCCTCCTACTGTGGTCAGTAAATCTTGCCTCTCTGTTCCAAGCTTTCTCAGTCATCCTTTCCAAAGTAACATTCTGCATGGTGGTTGGAGGTAAATATAAATAGAGTCAAAGGACCTGGGTTTGAATCTTGGTTCTTCTACTTTTGGAAAAGTCACTTCTCTTCCCTGGGTCAGTCTCATGTCATTAACTGCCTGGTAGGCATTTCAAAACCAGTTATCTCATAGGCATCTCCAATTCTTCATGTCCCAAGCTGAACTTATCTTTCCCTGAAAATCCACCCCTCTTCCAAGCTCCCTATTTATTTATTTACTTATTTTATTTATGATGTATCTACTATGTGCCAGGCACTGTGCTAAGTGCTGATGATACAAAAAAAGGCAAAAACAATCCCTGCTGTCAAGGAACACACAGTCTAATGGAGAAGACAATGTGCAGACACAAGCCAGGATAAGCTGGAGATAATCAACAGGGAAAGGGCACTATATTAAGGGGAACCAGGAAATGCTTCTTTTAAAAAATTTTTTATTAATTTATTTTGATTTATCAACAATCACTTCCATATTCTTTTAAGTTGAAAATTTTTCTCCCCCTTCCTTCTCCCTGCCCTCCCCAAGATGGCGCACAATCTGATATAGGCTCTATATTTACATTCCTATTAAACATATTTTCACATTAGTGAAGTTGTAAGTAAAAATTAAAACCAATAGGAGGAACCATCAGAAAGATGAAACAAAACTCAACAGAAGGTAAAAATAAGTGATAGCAATTCAACTTCCATAGTTCTTTCTTTGGTTGTGGACAGCATTTTCCACCACAAGGCCTCTGGAGATGTCTCAGATCCTTGTAATGCTGAGAAGGGCTCAGTTTAACAATATCAGTCATTGCATAATGTGGCTGTTATTGTGTACAAAGTCCTTCTGCTCACTTCCCTCAGCATCAGACCATATAAGTCTTCAGGAAATGCTTCTTATAGAAGGAGGGTCAATAGCGAAGAGGCAGAGATGGGGAGGGAGAACATTCCATGCATGGGAGGCAGCCAGTGAAAATGTCGGAAATAGGGAGACAAAGCCCTATTTTATTGTGCCAGGAACAGCAGAGAGGTCAGTGCCTCTGAATTGAAGAGTACATGGTGAGGGTTTGTCAGGGGTATTAAGGTGTAAGGCCTTAAGGAAGGAGAGGGAAAATACCGAAAGGAAGAGTTTATATTTGATCCTGAAGGGAGAAAGGGTAAAACTGGTATTTATTGAATCATAGGGAGGTGACATGGTGAGACTTGCGTTTTTATTTACAGTTTTAGTTAGGACCCTCATCATTTCTCTTGCAGATGACTACAACAGTTTCCTAATTCATCTCTCTATCTCAAATCTCTTCCCACTCTTAAGTAATCCTTCACATATCTGCCAAGTGATTTTCCTAAAGCACAGATCTTTCATGTCAGTTATGCTTGGAGAAAATATAAGCTACTCTCTTTAGCTTTAAAAGTCCTCCACAAATAGGCCCCATTCCATATTTTCAGCTTTATTGTACATTACTCCCCTTTCTGTACGCCAGACTGGCCTTCTCTTTGTTCCTCACACACAGAACTCCATCTTCCAACCCCTTGACTTTGTAATGGCTCTTCTTTATGCCTGGAATACACTCCTTCCTCACCACTGGCTCATGGAATCAAATTCTTCCTTTAAGAAATATCAAGTATCTCCTACTTCATTAAGCCTTTCTTTATCCTCACAGTTGATAGTGACCTATCTTCCCTAACTACTTTGTATTTCACTCTCTTGTATTTATTTGTATTTATTCTCTTTATATTTAATATGGATATGCTTATATATGTACTATTTGTTTTCCTATTAGATATAAGCTCATTGAAAAGTAGCGTTGCTTCATTCTTTGCATTTGTATGCCTAACAACTACCACATAGTATGTACTTAATTTAAAAGCTTTGCCTTATGATTGATTGTCCTTTCTGGCCCCATTTCCCTCATCTGTATATAGCCCCACCTCCTCAGATACCCTCCAACTTGGCACTTATAGCCATAGAGCCATACTTCTAAAACTATTTCTTATGGGCCTCTATCAGTACGTTCAACTTGAACAGACAGCCAAATGACACGGTTAGCTTAAAGTAAAAGCAAACAGCATAGCCAAAACACTAGTAGCAAAATATATCCTCCATAAACCTGAAGTTTGCTTTTTTTTAATACACAAGATATCACTAGTAAGAGTGGTCATACACATGGAGTACAATGGTATAGAAACATACATATAAGTAACATGGGCCAAAGCAACTCACAGCTCTGAAACCACAGCTACTCCCCCTAGATAGTAGCATGTTTGTGGGAGGCAGCTTTGCTGGGCTCCCTGGATCTGTTCTCTCCCACAGCTCAACTGGACTCCACAGTTAGACTTATTAGGTCTTCTGTATGCTGGGTGCAATGTTTCCTACAGGGGGAGTTGCCCTGTTTTAAGATACAATGCATTACCAATGGGAACATGTGGAAAAACCTACTTTTCTCCACTGCACTCTATAAGAGTTGCAAGGGAAAAGGTAAAAAGTAAACCCTCTTCAGAGATGAATCCTTCCTCTATAGCCTCTACTGTCAGAGATGGAGCCTTCTCAACTGATAGAACTTCTATCTCAACTAAATTGCTTGCTTTTATTAAAAGGCTTAATTTTTTTTTCAATGAACAAAAACTAGTTTTCTCTCCCTTTAACCTCCTCACCCCACTGAACAAAACAAAAATAAAATCTTTGTAATAAATATTCATAGTCAAACAAATTTCTGCATTGGGCATGTCTATATACCTTTCTGCATCCTTAGTCTACCAACTCTGTTAAGAGTTTGGTAGCATGCTTCATTACTGATCCTTTGGAATTGTGGATGGTCATTGCATTGATCAGAGTTCTTAAGTCTTTGAAAGATAGTTTATCTTTATGTTTTTTGTTATTATAAAAATTGTTCTGATTTGGCTTACTTCACACAACATCACTTAATACAAGTGTTCCCAGGTTTTTCAAAAATTATACCTTTCATAATTTCTTTGAGTGCAATAGTATTCTACTATATTCCTATACCATTATTTTTTCAATAATCCTCCAAATGATGGGTATCCCCTTAGTTCTAGTTCTTTACCACCGCAAAAGAACTGCTATAGTATTTTTGCCCATATGGGTCTTACCTTCTTCTTTAATATCTTGGGGATAAGCCTAGTAGTTGTGTTGTTGGATTAGAGAGTATGGGCTGTTGAGTAACTTTTAATTCATAGTTCCAAATTGCTTTCCAGAATGGCTATTTTGCTGTCTTCCCTAGTGTTGAAAAATGTGGTTCAGGCTTAAGAAATGAAAGAGGCCAATGTTTTGCAGATTACTAAGAAGACTTGTACACAGACACACATATGTATATATACATACACACACATACATATTCATATATGTATATGTACATTACACATATGTATATATGTTTGGGATATAAAGACAAAATGAAATATTCTTGACTAAGTGACAGATATTAGGATACTTATGTTTAAAAATTTTGCACGTATAATTCTTAGGAAGCATACTATTTAAAACTATAAAACATTTTGAATTATTAAACACAGATTAGAGAATTGTTTATGAGTATATGTGATCTATATTCTAATTTTCTCTCCCATTTATTTTTTCCCTTACTAGGTGATATCCCAGTTGTTCAGCTTAACTTCGTCATGATATCCCTGGAGGGTCCTTTTAACAGGGATGTGGTGGAAGGATGTGTGAAGGAAACGTTGCTCTTTTTATCTCGGTCCATTTCTGTCAAACAAAATGTGGAGTTTACATTCAAGGGAATAGGGGTCCTCATGATTAGAGACAGCAAAGTGAAGATGAGGTTTTATAAGGACTTCCTGTGTGCTATGGATGGAAGTGGGAATCTGGTTAAAGCTCTTTCAAATGTAAATTGGTTTCTTCCTTCTTCTAACTACCTCTCCCAAATGGTACCAGTGAATTGATGAATTATATAATGAATTCTCAATGAATTTTCTTGGAGTAGTGCACACTACTACTACCACTGTAGCATGCACTAGGCAGTAGCTCCTACTTTTCAGAAAAAGTCAAGTTGAGAGGATCATGGAATTTAGAGGTGGAAGGGACCTTAGAGGTCATCTAGTCTAATTCCCTCATTTTATAGGTGAATAAACTGAAACCCAAAGAACTTAAGTGACTTGATGAAGGTCATATGGGCAACAAATGGCAGAGCCCAGATTTGAATGCAGTCCTCTTATTCTCAATCCAGCCTTCTTGGCATTGCTGTTACAAAGGGCTCCTTTAGTGAGAACTTCCTTAAGGCTGTCCAATAGGTCTTTGCTTTATTAATTACTTAGTGGAGAGACTTATGGGGCAGGTAGCTTTTGTTTAGGAACATAAAATTTGGAATTTGAAGTGACCAGTTTAGGCTTCTTATTTTGTAGATGAGGAAACTGAAGTTAAGGAGATTTGGTCATTGTCACATAAGTAACAAAAGTGGCAGAGCAAAGATCCAAACGCAAATTTCCAAGCTCCTACCTCAGTGCTTTTTTTCTTCCCACTATACCCACGAGCCGTTGCCAACTGAAGATAAATCATAAATGAGGGAAAACCATACCTCATAGGATGATGTGAGTCAGGCCATTAGAGTTCAACTTCCTTATTTTCCGAGTGATGAAACTGAGACCCAGAGAAGTTCATTGGCTTAACCAAGGTTGTATGTGTACCAAGAATAAGGATCAGTGATATTGCTGGCTCTATCATAACCTAGGTTAGACACCTTGGGCAAGTTTACTTCTCTCTAGGCCTCAGATTTTCTCACTTGGCAAATTTGGGGTTTGGACCATAAAATCTCAAAAGTCCCTTCTGGCTCTAACATTTGATTATTAAGTCTAATGTAACATTAGACTGACATTTTTATTGATGATGTGGAAAAAGGCATAGATAACTTGCTCATCATATTTAAAAAGGCTACAAAACTAGAAGAAATAATGATTCCATTGGAGGACAGTCAGGATCCAAAAGGAACTTGACATGTTAGAACAGGGGTTCTACAGCAAGTGTTCATGACCCCTTGAGTTAGTCTGGTGAGTAATAGACATCTCAAAAGAATATTTTTAAATGCACCAGAAAGCTGATGAACTCTTGGACCTTGCTGCTGCTTAATATAGCAAGGGCTGGGGGCAGCTAGGTGCTGCAGTGGATAATCAAGTACCAGCCCTGAAGTCAGGAGGACCTGAGTTCAAATGCAGCCTCAGGCACTTGATACTTAACCAGCTGTGTGACACTGGGCAAATTACTTAACCCCATTGCCTAGCGAGAAAGAAAACAAACAAATAAAAAAACAAAAACGGAAAACAAAAAATATAGCAAGGACTGCATTAAGAGATTCCTCAATTAGGGAGGTAGTAGTCCCCTTTCTTCAGAACTCATCAGGAGCATTCCGCTTGTTTATGGGCGCCATAGTTTAAGAAGTATATTGGTAAGTTGGAGACTGTCTAGAGGGGGGTGACCAGGATGGTGAAGGGCCTTGAATCCCTATCATATAAGAATCAGTTGAAAAAACTGAGAATGTTTAACTGGAAAAAAGACTGAGGGAACAATGGAATAACTGTCTTCTAGTATTTCAATGGATGTCACGAAAGGGGATTAGAATGAAAATTTTTTTTTTAAATTGTAAGAGATTGTAAAAATTTGGCAGCTAGGCATGATTCAGTGACCTTTGTCTTTTAGTCTATTCTGCACCTCCTATGGCTACTGACTTCTATTAGACTGTTAAAAAAAACCCAAAACCTCAATCTTTATTTTTGGGGGCAAAGATAAGCACTTTTTAACTTTTCACTGTCATTGCCACAGAGGCCTGGGACGACGGACTCAGTGATGTCCAACAGAGAGGGCACCGCACAGCGTCCTTGTAGTGTGTACACTTTCCCAAGGTGAGTACACATCTCTAGTTCACACACACACACACACACACACACACACAGAAACATCTACTCTACCTGTGTTGACTCCTTTGTTTTGATGTCAGGGAGATTGCTTCGACTGACTGGGCTCTAACTCACCCTTATTATTCCCTTCCCAGCCCTAAAACCAAACTCCATCCAGTCCAGCTCAGATCTTTCCTGAGACTTGAACCTCAATATTGGCTGAGGAAGTTGAGGCTATAGCTGGTCTACAGCGATCAAGGAGAGAAGGGATAGTGAGAGTGGTTATGAGGATCAAATGAAAAAATGTATGTCAAGTGCTTTGCAAACCTTCAAACACAATATTAGCTTTGGTTGTTATTGTCTTAGATTAAGAGAGGTACAATGTCTAGGTGATAGTCTCATTCTACTCTGTCCTAGGAGACACTAACTCACCATTTAAGGAAGGCAAACTAGAGAACTCATTGATAAGCTAAAAAACTTTCCAAAGGAAAGTAACCAAGATGGTGAATGGCCTAGAGACCATGTCATAAGAGAATAGGTTGGAGGAACTGGATATATCTGCCAGGGGTGGGGAGCAGCCTCGAGGCCACATGTGGCCCTCTAGGTCCTCACGTTCAGCCCTTTAACTGAATCCAAACTTCACAGAACAAATCCCCTTAATAAAAGGATTTGTTCTGTAAAACTTGGACTCAGTGAAAAGGTTACACTTAAGGACCTAGAAGGCCACAAGTGGCCTCGAGGCTGCAGGTCCCCCACCCCTGAGTCTTGACCCTCTACAGGAGGGCAACTGAGATAGTGATGGCCTCAAGAAGCTAGTGGACTTAGAAATGGACTTGTCAATCCACCAAAGAATGCTAATGTCATGTGTCAGTACATATGTATTCTTCTTAGTGATGCTGGCCCCAGGCCTCCCTGGGGGATGCCCCCTCCCCCAACATCCCCTGATCCAAAGGTAAGTCAATTGCTGTAGTCACTACTATCCTTCCACAGGCCCCCTGACTTAAGACTTTGTGCATGTATGCATGGGTGTGTGTGTGTGTGTGTGTGTGTGTATACATTTCTATGCAGGTGTGATATGGTGGGGAAGAGAGGGCGTAGTTTCTAACAGTGTTCTTTCTAGAAGGCTATGTATTCTTTTCCTAAAGCTACCTAGCAATCACCCATTTCCACAGTGTTCTTGTAGTTTCCAGTTATGTACCAAAAATGAAATAGAAAACAGGAACAGGAAAATGGAAACTCCAAATGAAAAGTTTAAAAAAAAAGAAAAGAAAAAATAGCGTCTGTTTTGTGTAATAATAGTGTGTGTGACAGTAGAGCCACGCCAGTCATGGAAGGCAGCATACTGTGCCAGGAGACAGAAAGTGAAATTTAGTCCTAGTCCTACTCTCTGTTTTATCACAAACTAGCCATTTATTTGACTTCCTTAGGACTCAGTTTCCCCATCTGTAAAATGAGGGGTTGGACTAGATGATCTCAAAGGTCCCTTTTGTGTTCTAATGTTGTTAATTCTGAGCTTTCATCCATCTTTGTGTGCTGTGTTCTAACATTCTGTATTAAAAGCATCTTTCCAGTTCTATATCCTTTGTTTTATGTTCTAATATCCTATATTCTAAGGTCCCTTCCAGCTCTGCCTCCAGTGTTCCAAGATTCTGTTTTCTAAGCTTCCTTCTAGCTCTAACATTCGATGTTTGTGGTCTACCATTCTTTGTTTTAACGTCTCTTCTAGCTCTAACATTGTCTATGATATGCTAACATTTTATGTTCTAAAGTCTCTTCCAGCTCTGATATTCTGTGCTTCCTGATGTAGCCTCATGGATCAGGTGGATATTTACAAGAGCAACAGTACTCAACCTTTCTAATGACACTATTTTTAGTTTAAATTCTTACCTATCTGAGCAGTTTACAAGAGGTAAGGGGGCACACAGCCCTGTTTCAGGGCTCTTCATAGTAGATGGGTATATCTTTGGCTTACCTCTAGGATTGAGTCCAAGGATCCAGAAACCAAACCAGCTATAGAAACCATTGAAGAATTGAAACGAGTGGCCCTCTGGAGTCCAAGAACAAAGACCAGGGAGAAAAAGAAGAGGTCAGAGGTACAGGAATGATGTCTGTGTGCGTTCTGCTATGCCTTATCACTTGATAATGAACGATGTTGCTGAGCGACTCTTGTATCTGCCGCAAATTAATTTTAACACAGAATTCTGATAGGTCATTTCCTCCCTTCTCTCCAATGGGAACCTCTTTCTTTTACTTTCCTCCAGAAAGTAACCTCTTGTCATATTCTTAGTCCCTTTTCAGGTCAAATGATTAAGAGGGAGAGAGAATCGTAACAAAGCCATCTCGTCTGTCTTTATAGCTGAGCTGAGCACCCCTTCCTTTCCATGAAGAATTTCTGGTTCAGAGGTCAAGGGACACAGTAAGAGGGCAGAGGTTGTGTCAGAAGTGACAAAGGGCTAGCAAGATGACTGTGGAAAGAGGCTGTTTTTAAGAAGTATGTGAGGCAGTTTGATCTTACAGGAGAGAACTTTATAGCATCATAGGATGTCCAAGTAGTGTAACAACTGTGGAAGTTTTAAAAAGAGAATTGTCACTCCAACGGGACCATGGTTTGAACACCTGGCTCCACAAGGAGATCCTCCCACACCTAAAACTGAGGACAAATAACATAAAGCAGAAATAAACACCCCTAGGCAATTTCTTGGGTAAAAGAGGGAGAGCAGAGGAAGGGAGCATAGTACGCCTTCGGGCACAGCATCCAGGAGCACAGCTGAAACCATGGCAGAAAATCTTAGTTGCCCTGTTTTTAAAGACACAGGCAGCCAATCAGAGAAGGCTGCCCCACCCACGTGGTAGAGATGCATTGTTGGCCTCCATGTTAGCCAAATGAGGCATAGCCCTGCCTCACTTAAATCCAATTCTCTTGCAAGTCATGACATCACCTTCCTGGTGTCATGGTCTTCTTCCAGAAGGAAGGGCAAACAATAACAACAATGTAGCTGGATGAGGCATGCCCAAAAGCCTGGTTACAGTAGGGAGGACCTCAGGATATGATAGCTGAAAAGGACCTCAGAGCATAGAACACTAGGTTGTGAACATGGAATGTTAGAACTGGCCCTAGAACATAGAATGTTAGATCTGGAAAAAACTTTAGAAGAGAAAATGTTAGCAGACAACATGTTAGAACTGGAAGGAACCTTACAGCATAGAATAGAGCTGGAGGAAACTTTTACAGTCTTTCAGTCCAAGGGTTCTTAATGTTTTGTTGTTGTTATGGACCTCTTGGACAGTCTAGTGACAGCTAAGGGCCCCTTTTCAGAATAATGGTTTAAATGCATGAAATAAAATATATAGGATTGCAAAGGAAACTAATTATATTGAAAAACAGTTATCAAAATACATTAAAAAATTCACTAGACCCTGGGTTAAGAACACCTGTCTGCTTTAGTCCACCCCTCTTATTTACAGATTAGAGATTAGAAGGAGAGATCCAAAGAGATTGAATAGCTTGTTTAAGGCCACATAGCTGGTTAGTGGTAGAGCTAAATCTAAAACCAAGGTCTCTTCGATAATAGGCTCATTTCTCTTTGGACTACATCATAATGTACTTTTTTTTTTTACCTTTTTGGTGAGGCAATCAGGATTGAGTGACTTGCCCAGGGTCACACAGCTAGTAAGTGTCATGTATCTGAGGCAAGATCGGGACTCTAAGGCTGGAGCTGTATCTACTGTGCCACTTAGCTGCTCCATAACGTACTTATGACTCTAGAAACCCTATGCAATTAACAAATGAATACACACATATATAGCAAATATATACATATACACACATGTATATGTGTGTTTATATGTATGTATGGGAGGCAGCTTAGAACAGTGGAAAGGGTAATGGATTCATCTTTAAAAGGACGGGGTTGGACCAGATCAAGGATTCTTCAACTTTTTCCACTGGAGACCCCTTTTGGTGTTTCAGCAGCATTCGTTGGTGTTGTTTGGCTTGAGGGTATGCTCATGCTGTATGTTCAGAGCCAGGGCTGCAGTGAAGTCACACAGTGCAACATGGGCGAGCGCTACCAGAAACACCTCAGAGTCATGGCCTGCTTGATTTCTAATTATTTTTTGGTTGTTGTGTGTTCAGGTCATGACCCACAGTTTAACAAGTGCTGGACCAGCTGACCTCTGAGATATCTCCCAGCTCTGAATCTAGGAGCTTATGGTCATCCACATATTTGAACCAGATATGAAGAGATGTGTGTACATACGTACACACATGTACACAGCAAACATACAATATACATGCATGTTCACATTATATATATATATATGTATGTATAACATTACTAGAACATTGATTTCTCTCTTCTGTAGTAGGTATATCAAACAGGCCAAAAATATTTGTACATCACTCTTCTTCTTCCTTAGAGCACATTCAAATAAATGTTGAGCTCTTTAGATTCTAGCTCTGCAATGAAATTTAATGATTTACATAGTTTTGCTAAGTTATGAATTGTAAGTGTAGTACCTGTGTGTATGTATATAGACACAGACTCATATAAGCTCAGGCCCAGGGCTGGCCCTTGGCAAAATTGCTAAGTGGACAGAGTAATCGCCATGTAGATCTAAGTTGTCTTTGGCTTCCTCCTTCTCATGTTGGTTCTACCTTTTCTGCTTCCTGTCCCAACATCTAGAAACCTATAAACTTCTCCCTGCTTCCACTGGGCTATCCATGATATCCATCCCCACTACCCCGTACTGGCATACCCAATTCTGCTCTCCTCATTTACTTGGATGCTTACCCTTGCCTCTCCTAACCTCCCACCCATTGTCAAAACCAACAATACCCTGGCCCCTTCACCTGTAGTCTTCCTGCATCACTGGCTATAATAATACTAAGGCATGCTATGATGTTAAAGGATGATAATAATTTAGTAGATTGCTTGCCTTGAGTTTAAATATTTGCTTTTTAACCTAAATTTTCTAGAACTTCAATGCCTTAATTCACTCAAAAGAGTATTCTATGGATGAGTTAGATGACCTCGAAGATCCTTTTCAGCTCTTAGATTCTGTGATTATATAGTTGAAAATTTTAGGCAGAATAATTGGGTACATAGGGAAATTTATTTTTGCTCTTTAGGTAGGTCCTGTCTGCCATAACTGGGCCTTTCACTCCCTGCCCTCCCTCCCTCTTTGCGTTTATGAATGTTTTTCTCATCTCTGAAACAGTAGTAAAGAAATGCTTTTTAGAAAATGTAAGAACTACAATTTTGGTTTTTCAGGAAGAGGATGAGAAGTGTTTCAATTTCATGATTCATTTGTCAGCATTCTACCTAAGTTGCTTTTAAAATTAAACTTTGTTCTCAGGTCAGGTAATATTAATGTAAGATTTAAAACTCCCTTCATCAGCTATATTTTCTTCTTAACTCTAACTAGATGGATGCATAGCAACTGTAATCACTGTAGCGAATCTGCCTCTGTATTGGATGAAGAAGGCACTACTTTTATCAACTCACACCCTGGCTCAGAAACCTTCCACGGCTTCCCATTGCCTTGACAACAACCATGCAACAAAGATTCATGGGGATAAAGTTCAAACCTTTGTGTTGTTGAGTCGTTTTTCAGTTGTGTCCCACTCTTCGTGACCCTTTTGAGGTTTTCTGGGCTAAGATAATTGCCTGGTTTGCCATTCCTTCTCTAGTCTTCCTCCTTCTAGGCCTGGCACTTTATCCATTTTACTACTTAGTCACCCCGAAACCTCCTTCCTTAGCTCTCTGTAATCCCCAGCTCCTACTGCTTCCCTTATAGAAAATTTCCACTTTAGTCAAACTTATCCACTCATTTATATCATCATGGGTTGTGCTTTTTCTCACATTACTTTGATTAAATTCATTTTTATTTTTATTTTAGGTTCATATTCTCTTCCTCCCACCTCCTTCTTCCCCTCACCTCTCCTCCTCCCCTAAGAAAGTAAGGAAAACAAAGCCTGTTATATAGATATATAGTCAAGAAAAACAAATTCCCACCTCCTCATCTTGTTTCCTGCCAAATATGCCTTAATTTGCACTCCTGAGTCCCTCACCTCTCTTTCTGGAAGTGAGTAGTAGCTTGCTTTATCATGAGTCTTATGGAATTGTGACTGGTCATTGTGCCCACACCATGGAATTGTGCCCACTTCCTGGAATGTATCCCTTCCTTGCCATGCACTGACTCACAACCCACTTTTCCTTCAAGGTCCAATCCTACCTCCTCCAGGAAGCAATCTTTTCCTCCTCTGCATTCAAATCACTTAATATCTGTATCACTCACTTGGCAGCCATATCTTCTTTTGTTAGGGCAACTAAGTGGTGCATAGAGCACCAGACCGGGAGTCAGGAAGACCTGAGTTCAAGTCCAGCCTCAGATACTTACAAGCTATGTTACACTAGGCAAGTCACTTAAACCTGTTTGATTCAGTTTCCTCATCTGTAGGATGAGAAAGGAGAAGGAAATGGCAAACCACTCCAGTATCTTTGCCATCAGAACTCCAAATGGGGTCATGAAGAGTTGGATACAACTGAACAACAAAGACAAATTTTCTTTTGCAGCTTTGATCCATTACTATTATTTAACTTATCATATATTCGTGTCTTATATCACCAACTAGAATATAAGCTCTTTGAGGGCAGCACTGTCTTGTATATCTTTGAATTTCCTCCAGTGCTTTCAGTGTAATAGGCACACAGTAAATATTTGCTGATTGACTATGATGGGTAAAAAAGAACAATTTAAGATGATGAGAGTGTTATCCAGCCTCAGAATCTAGCATTCCACAAATTATGGAGTTATTTTTTACTTATGCAAGTGTGAGGGGAAAATTAATAATTAAAATGCCTTTTAAAATCTACTTCAGGGACTTCTACTTCCTTTTATTCTTCATTTTACAGAGAGCATTTTAGCCAAGAGGCTCCGGGCTAGGCAAGCCATCTCTCCAGTCAAAGTGACAGGAATCAACTTGATAGACAGGGTGGAGAAGAACAATCAGCTGAAGCCAGCTCCTGAAAGGTGAGTCATTCCCTAAGAGTCCTAAAGGGTTTTTTTTTTAAACTGGCATTTCCTTAGTACACTTAAAGAACGAGTCATTTAAAAAAAATTTAACATTTCACTTGGCAGTTAGTAAGGTTAGGAGCATAATCTGTTGACAGCAACTGAGGCTTAGCTTTTGTTTTGTGACCTAATTTCATATTTGGACCACATTACACTTTAGTCCTCCTTCATGAGTATTTTTACTAAGGATAATATTTATAATGGTCATGACTCCTTGTTGTGATGCTAGGTCATGGGATCTCACTTCCTAACTTGGTCCAGGACTTCTGGACAGGGTGATATAAATAAAAGGACACCATTCTAAGGTAGAAAGAGCACCATGCTCAGTAGGGAGACAGAAATTAGATGTGTGACCTGACCTGGACAGTTCATTTAATTCTACAGGTTTCTGTTTTTGTTGATATAAAATGGTTATACTTCTTGAATTCTACCTTAGACAGCAGTTTGAGATAGTGTATTTAGAGTACTATGTAAAAAGCGAAGTCCTGTATATGAAGTTGTTATTATTTTCTGAGAGTTCAGGGTAGTACATTAATCAAACATTATTGACCATCAGCTACATGCCATCATCTATGTAGTTGCCATGAGTAGCTGTGTGATTGATATCTGCTTTACGAATCGTCTGTGGTGCTGATGGTGCACTAATGATGGACCCCTAAAAGGCCCTGGACTTTTCCACAGGCTCTTGTCACTGGCATTCTCCAGAGGCATCTGGCCCATCCCAGTCAATAATCCTTGAAACTGTGCTTTCATTGTGGCCCTTTGACCCAACCCAGCCTTTCATTGTTTGCCCCTGGCCCACCCCAGGCTCCTTACCACTCTTTAATCCCATCTAAATTTTCTCACAGTCTTTCTGTATAAAAATATCAATCATACCCCCATTAAATTGTGCAGATTCTTAGAATCTGGCCTCCTTGTATTGGCATCACAAATACTGCAGACTCACTATTAATCTCCCCCACCCAATTGGTGTTATAATAAACTTGGTACTTGGACTGAAAGAAGGGTAGTTGAATTCTTTTGAGGAAGACCCGTTCTGGGCGCTTGTATTTTGGGATTCCTAGCACCGCTAGATTGCATCAGTACACTTTTAGTTATAGGCTGACTCTTCTCTGTTGTCAGAAATAATTAAACATGGAAGCAGGTGGAAGCCACTATGGTTTCGTGAGTGAAGTAGTGACATGATACTATCTGTGTTTCAGGAATGTCATTGTAAGTTGTTTGGAGGATGAAGTGGAGAAAGGAAAGATTTGAGAGAGATCAATTAGAAGGTTATATATTGCAATAATCCAGGCTAATGGCAAAAAAGATCTGAACTAGGTTAGTGGTCATTAAGATAGGTGTGAGAGGTTGAATGAGCAAGGATGGAAACCAAATAATTCTGGGGGTTGAAGGAGAAGTGAAGAATTGAGGATGACTCTGTTTCAGAACCTGAAAGGCTGGTGTGGTACCTTTGACAAAAATAGGAAAGTTAGAAGAAGAGTGAGTTTTTCTGGGAAAGAATAATGAGTTTTGTTTTGTATATGCTAAGTGTGAGATCCCAAAAGGACATTCAGTTTGAGAAATCCAAAAGGCCACTGGAGTTGTGCTAGCTCAGGAGAGAAACTAGTCTCAGATAAATAGATCTGGAAGTCATCTGCCTATAAATGATAGTTGCACCCATCAAAGCTGAAAAGATGACTGAAAGAGAGATTCTAGATAGAAGAAAGAAGAGAACCCAGGACAAAACCTCAAGGTATACTCAAACGTAGAGGGTAGACATGAGTGATTTAGCAAAGAAAGCTGAAAAGCAGTAGCTAGAAAGGGAGGAGGAGAATCCAGAGAGAACAGTCTTATGAAAAGCCAGAGAGGATAGGAGTATCCAGGAAGAGAGGCTGATCAACAGTGTCAAGTGCTGCATACAGAGTAAGAAGGATGGCTGACAAAAAGCCACTGGATTTGGTCATTCTTTTTGGTTCATTGGTAACTTTGAAGAATTCTCAATTGAGCGTTAAGGTCAGAAGCTAGACCGCAAAAGGTCGAGAAGTGAGGAGAAAGGAAGCAGGAACCAGGAGTATAGAGAGCTTTTTTTTTTTTTAAAGGAGTTTGGCTGTGGAAGGGAAAAGAGATACACTTATGAAAGGTTGGGGGAATGGCTGGGTTAAAGTGAATGTTTTTAAGGATGAAAGAGACCTGGATTTATTTCTAGATAGAAGAGGAGGAATAAAATTCTTAGGTGAATAGGTTATACAGAGGAGATGAACATTTTGAACATTATCACTGGCGTACAAGTACCTTGTCAAGGAAGAAGAATTACAAGGTTGTCCAAAGTTGTTACTAAACATTACAATTATGTATATTCTGATTTTCAAAACGTGTCCTCTTCTTACTTTTCTAGGCTTATTAAATATTACTCCATTCTGTGTACTCTACCATTGGGCCAAACTGGTCTCCTTTCTGTTCCTCATCTCCAGTCCTCCACTTTCCATCTCCATGCCCTTACATCGGTTGTACCCCAGGGCTGTAAAAGACTCTTTGCTTCTGTTTCTGGGGGTCTAGGGTTTCCCTCAAGACTCGGCTTAAACATCACTTTCTGAATGAGGCGCTTCCTAGTTCCTCCCTTCCCCAGGTGCTACTGCGTCTCTCCTTTTCCTGGTTGTCTCACATCTGATTTTTTTGTGTTTGGTGTATGTTTATAGATGTGTATGTTGTCTCTCCTCCCCTTCCTATTGAGTGCAAGGACTGTTTCATTTTTGTATTTGTGTCACCAGAGCCTAGTATATTCCCTGCCACAAAGAATGTGCTTTATAAATGCTTGTTAATTGATTTATTGGGTGCTATTTATATAGACCCAATGTATAATCTAGGTAAAATTTGTCCTTACTGCCCTATTTTTTTGTCATCAGCATCATTATCAAGATTTATCTTGCACCTAGATTACCAAGGCAATCTCCTATAATCCTCTTTTGATTGTCCTAGTTTGTCTCTCTTTTGCTATATCCATTTATCCTAAAGTTAATAATGTGCTTTTCTGAACCAAGGCACCAATTCTTCCTTATTCACTGTAGAGACTGATTGCAACTGGTAAGCTAAATATTCCCATTCCTGGGAAATGAGAAACTTCATGTTCATACAAATGCTCTCTTGAAGACATCAACATTAAGCAAAACAGTCCCTCATTATTTAAAAATTTTCAGTCCCTGCTTATCTGACATGAAACTCGTGTCAAATTTTGCTTCCAGGGGTAGAAAGTAAAGGGTTAATGACAAGGTGGTACTGCCTGGAGGAGTCCAGCAGCAGAGGAATCTAGTTCAGTTCAAACGAGCTTGACGTTTTTTGTTTTTGTTTTGCTTTGTTTTTTAATGGGGCAATGGGGTTAAGTGACTTGTCCAGGGTCACACAGCTAGTGAGTGTTATGTGTGTGAGGTCAGATTTGATCTCACAAAGAAGCATTTATGAAATGCTTACTGTAAGCCAGGCACTATACTAGGCTCTGGTGATACAGGGACAAAAATGAGTCTGCCCTGAAGGAGCTTGTTGTACAACTAGGGGGTGAGAGGTAAATAAATACATGTGTATTTATTCATATATTTAAAAGTAATTGGTAGGGGCGGGGAGCACTAGCAAATGGAAGAATTTCTCTGGACTTAGGTTTTCTCCTTTGAAAAATGGGGATAGTGGTGTTCAGTTGTTTTCAGCCACATTCAACTCTCTGTGACCCCATGTAAGGTGTTCTTGGCAAAGATACTGGAGTGGTTTGCCATTCTTTTCTCTAGCTCCTTTTACAGATAAGGAAACTGAGGCAACCAGGGTCAAGTGACTTATCCAGGGTCAAAGAGCTAGTGAGTGCCTGAGGTCAGATTGAAGTTCAAGGAGAGGAGTCTTCCTGACTCCAGGCCAGGCACTCTGTCTAATGTGCCACCTCCTGTCTTTCAGGGTTGCTGTGAGAAAAGCAGTTTACAAGCTTTGCATAAAGCTTTGATAAAATATGAGCTGCTATTAAACATTTAATGGACATTTCTGTTTTATGAAATGGATGCAGTTTGTAAAGGAAATTGAATTTGAATTATAATATTGAGGATTTGAGTTGTTCAAAAGATTGAGGATCTGGTGAGTATCCATTTTACGGATTTGTTCTGTTTCAGAGAGTGCACCTCATTTCTAGATTTATGAATATTGTCTGGGGGAGTTGAGTGCTTTATGCAAACCTGACCTCCTGCTTGTTCTTCTATGGAGAGGTTATTTAAAAAGCACAGGAAGCTGACTCACAACTGTCCAATGGGATTCGAAGCGTTGCTGTTTTTAAGGACAGATAGCTATTAATCTGGAGAGGATGGTTTTCCAAAGACTAATGTAGTCCACATTCCTCTCAGGGCAAAGCCAAATCTAAATTGCGCCATGATCATTGTACCTCCCCTTGATTGGGGGAGGATTATTTTTGAGAGGTTGGTGAGCTTTCCAGCTGCATTTCTCTAGTCATGCCATGTTAGTGGTTTCAATGGTCAGGTTGCTTTTCTGCATGTTTGTGCTGGCCAAAGATGTTAATGTGGTCAATGTGATCATATGGTATTACAGATGTTAAGTCACTTCAAAGGTCCTGCCACCTTGGCTATGTTGCTTTGGCTAAGGTGTGTTTGTATTTATAGGAGACTGGGAAAATGAGAAGCAATTTTCTTGACTTGTGCTGAAATATAATTCTTTCCTTCAGGGGCACAATAGTAATAGCTGACATTCGTATGGCACTTTCAGGTTTGCAAAGCACTGGAAGTAATCTATTTCATTTGATCCTCACAACAACCATCTGAAATAAATAGAACATCACTTCACTTTAGAGACAGAGGAAACTGGCTTCCAGAGAGGCTAAGTAGTCACAAGCTAATAAGTGTTGGTGGCGGTGGAACCTGTTAGAACTCAGGTCTTTCCTGCCTCCCAGTCTAGCACTAAACATCTGCTGAGAATGGACATAGACTAGGGCACTGTGTTCAAGCAATTGAAGTTGAGGGAGGAGAGAGGTAACTAATCAGTCTGGACAAAAGAAATGCTTAAAGAACACACCAAACATCAAATGCACTGTCAGGAAGATGCTTCTTATATTGGAAAGAAGGGAGCAGACTGGATTAAATGGAATGAAGAGCCTTAGAATGAGAAGACAGGTATACAGAGCTCATCGTTGGCCTTAATGAATTTGAGTCATCAGGTCAGAACTTTATTATATCCCATACTATGGGAAGAATATATAAATAGGATTGCTGAACTTTTGCTGGTAATCTTTGCAGAATCATGGAGAAATGGGAGTGGTGCTATAGACCTGGGAACCAGGAAACATCTCACATTTTAAAAAGCAGGTGAAGGCAAGCTCTAGCTGAAGATCCAGGAAAGGAGACCAAGAAAGAGTGGTCAGACAGGTAGAAGGCAAACCAGGGGAGTGCAGTGTCATGAAAGCTTAGATCAGGGGTAGGAAACCTGCAGCCCTTAGGCCACATGTGGCCATCCAGGTCTTCAAGTGTGGCCCTTTGACTGAATCCAAACTTGGATTCCCCACACCTGGCTTAGACAGAAGACAGTGTCAAGTAGAAGACAGTGATTGACAGTGTCACAGGCAACACAGAAAAAAAAGAAAGATTAGTATTGAGAAAAGGTGATTAGATTTGGGAATGAAGAGATTATTGATAACTTTGGAGAGAGCAGTTTCAGTAGAATGATGAAGTCAGAATCCAGACTACAGAGAGTTAAGAAGAAAGTGAGATATGGGCTATAAATAGCCTTCTCAAAGATTTTAACTATGAAATAAATGCGGGAATGATATAAGATGATAGCTAGCCAGGATGGACATATCCAATGAGGCTTTTTCTTTCTTTCTTTCTTTCTTTCTTTCTTTCTTTCTTTCTTTCTTTCTTTCTTTCTTTCTTTCTTTCTTTCTTTTTTTGAGGGTATGTAGAGAGATTTGCTCTAGCAAGGAGAAGGGCCGCCTCTTTAAAAAATTAATTAATTAATTAATTTTTATTTTTTGGTATTCACTTCTATAAGATTTTTGAGTTCTAAATTCCCCCCTCCAACCCTCCCTCCTCTGAGACAGCATGCAATCTGATATAGGCTACACACGTATGATCATCTTTCTACATTAGTCATGTTGTGAAAGAAAAATCAGAACAAAAGGGAAAAATCACAAGAAAGAAAAAAAAAAGAGAGAATAGTATGCTTTGATCTACATTCATACTCCACAGTGCTTTCTCTAAATGTAAATAGCATTTTCCATGATGAGTCTTTTGGAGTTGTCTTAAATCCTTGTATTGCTGAGAAGAGCCAAGTCTAACAAAATTGGTCATCGAACAATGTTGCTGTTACTGTGTACAATGTTCTCCTGGTTCTGCTCACTTCACTCAGAATCAGTTCATGTGAGTCTTTCCAGGTTTTTCTGAAATCCGCCTGCTCATCATTTCTTATAGCACAATAGTATTCCATTACATTCATCTACCACAACTCGTTCAGCCGTTCCTCAGTTGATGGGCATCCTCTCAATTTACAATTCTTAGCCCACCACAAAAAGAGCTGCTATAAATATTTTTGTACATGTGGATCCTGTTCCCTTTTTTATGATCTCTTTGGGATACAGACTTAGTAGTGGTATTGCTGGATCAAAAGGCATACACAGTTTTATAATGAAGGGCCACCTCTTCCTATGAGATGGAGTGAAGGAGGAGATCATAGCAGAAGATGTTTGAGTGATATGAGATGAGGTGGTAAGAAGAGGGAGCTCTTGATGGATGGCGTCAGTTTTTTCAGTGCAACAGAAGGGAGGGTTCTCAGCTAAGAGGAAGGTGAGGGGTAAGGTCTGGAAAGATTTGGTAGTGATTGTGATAGTGAATCAATTAGGTATAAAAGGATTTTCTTGTCATACTGAGGTCCTCTTTGAGATTACATATCAAATTTGTTAATCATAAATTTGTAATGGACATAGTCAGCATGGTTTTGTGATTTACTGCAACTGAAGTCCATTTTCCATTTAGCTATCAAATTGATCTCCCTAAGGCACAGTGAGTCTGATAGTGTCACCCCTGTCCTTCATTCAATAAACTCCAGTAGCTCCCTATTATCCCTTGGTTTTTAAAGCCCTTTGCTGCCTGGCACCTTTCTACTTTTCCAGTTTTCCTACAGGTCACTCCCATGTATTCTGCATTCCATTCTGGCCTACTGTTTTGAGAAGATACTCCATTTCCCAGCTCCACATTTTTACTTGGTGTCCCTCATCCCTGGAATTCTTTTCTTCCTCATCTTTATTTCCTGGATTCCTTCAAGTCCCAGCTAAAATCCCACCTTCTGCAAGAAGCCTTTTCTGATCCCCCTTTCTGTTGATTATCTTAAATTTATCCTCTGTATATTTTTTTATGTCAACAGTTTTCCTTGTTGTTCTACCCCCTTATTAGACTGTGAGCTCTTTGAGAGCAGAAACTTTTTTTTTTGGCCTCTCTTTGGATCCCCAGCACCTAGCACAGTGCCTGGAACATAATAAGTGCTTCATACATACTCATTGATTTGACTTGTACTGACATGCAGTATGAAGGGCAGTGTGGTATAGCAATGGCAAGAGAATGATAGTCAGATAACCTGAATTCTGGTTCTGAATGTGTTACTTATGAGATGCATAAGCTTAAGTAAGTCACTTAATTTATCTGACTCTCAGTGTTCTTGTCTTTAAAATGGTCATAATTTTCCATTGACAACTATTCTACCTCACAGGGTTACTGTAAGTAAACCAGACAACATGGCAGGTACAATAAACATGGCTTATTGTTATTTTTTTCCCTACCTCATGGTAGGTGGTTGTTAGAAAGTGCTTTGTAAACTGTGAAATACTATGGAAATATCAATTATTATTACTTATATTTTTCATTCATTATAAAGGAGGCCATAGAAAGGCATTTTCCAGATCAGTATAAAGAATATTATTTTAGCAAATTGAACTGTCCAATAATAGATGTTAGTGAGTTCTGGTGTCATTGTTGTATTAAAAGAACTAGAGGAAAAGACCTCCACAGCGCTGTTTGGTAGGTCATCTATGAATGCAGGAAGGCATGGACCAGAATGACACTGGATAAGAAGGGAGAAAAGGGAGAACATTCATTTATTAGCCACTTACTGTGTATTAGGCCCTATGTGATGTTTTATGGATATCTCATTTACAGGCATGGATGAATCTTGATCTGCACTGGTAGAGTCATGTCTATATTGATGCTATCACAAATTCATCAAAATACCATAGTACCAAAATAAAGATTATGAACAAGAGAAGCTGTATTTAAAAGGGATAAATAAATGTAAAGTTCTACCCTTGGCCTCAAAAAAAAAAACCTACACAAGTCCTGGATGTGGGCAGCAAGGCTAGAGAGCACTTCATGTGAAAAAGATGAATCAGCAATATTAGGTTGTATGAAAGAAGCATTTGTTGTTGAGTTATTTCAGTTGTATCTGACTCTTTACAACCCCATTTGGGGTTTTCTTGGCAGGGATACTGGTTTGCCATTTCCTCCTTCAGTTCATTTTACAGATGAGAAACTGAGGCAATCAGGGTTAAGTGACTTGCCCAGGGTCACACAGCTAGTTAAGTGTCTGAGGCCAGATTTGAATTTAGGAAGATGAGTCTTCCTGACTCCGGGTCTGGCCCTCTACTCATTGCACCACCTAGCTATGCTGAAACAAGGAGGTTAGCTGCTCTGTCTGATCATTCCACATCTGGAGAATTGTAGAGAGTGACCAAGATGGGTGAGTGCCCATGAGGAACAGTGGGAGGAGCTTGGGATGCTTAGCCCAGAGAATAGACGGCTCGGGGCAGGGGAATAGCACGTGATTGTTGTCCTGAGATATTGAAAAGGATGTTATTTTGGAGAGTGATTAAATATGTCCTGTTTGGGTTTCTGGGCAGAACTGGGAATGATAGGTGGAAATCACAGGCAGGCACATTTTGGCTCAGTAAAAAATTCTATGTTCTAATAATTAGAGTGATCTACAAATGAAATAGCTTCCTCAGTGAGGAAGGGGGTAAATGGGCAGAGGGTGGGGCTCTGTCAGTGGAGTTCTTCAAGCAAAGGCTGGAGGATGACCTGTCAAAATACTGATGAGGACATTCCTGTGTCAGGGTTAGGTTGGACTTCACTCAATGACCTCCAAAATCCTTTCCAATCATGTAAATCTCTGCCAAAGTTTACTTTCCATCAGAATGCAAAGAAATGAATGTTCAGCGCAGAGGAGAGGTCGTATTCAAGAGAGACTGACGATCTGTTTCATCTTTCTAGATTAAAATCACCAGGTTCTCCAAAACCAGATATGGACACGAAGCTGAAAACTGCTATCCCACTTTGCCAGGGCCACGTAAAAGCAGGACAGGTAGCATATTTAAAACTAAGCTAACAACATGATTCTCTTTAATATTTCCTTTCTGCTTTTCAAAGAGAGTGCTATGCTTATTTTCTTTCTATTATTAGGTTTTAGTTGAGATGCCTCAGATAATTGGCACAGAAACTGAGCCAATAATTTGAGTTACTAATTCACAGATGCTGCTATACCTTTTCTGTGTCATCACATATTAATTGCTGGATATGTGATTCCTAAATAATTTTAAAAATCCTAAAATATTTTGGGGCCCCATGTGAAAAATAAATTTCATTATTGGCAATTGTCACCAGTAAGTAGTTTTCTTCCATAAAATGTGTTTGGTGACCACAAACCTTTTGAGAGCTTGCAAAACTACTAGTTGTATAAAGGGGAGGAAGAATCAAAGGCTGTAAGTGACTTCAATATCTTTTTCAATTTGCTATTTTAGGAGATGTGTTATGTATGCTTACAACGAGCCCAACGCAATGTGCCAGTGTACTGCAGCGAAGAGAGGAAAAGGAAGGAAATAGAAGATGACCGGATCATACAGCAATATCAAATGCTGAAAGACCAGGAGGCCCTCTATAAACATCAGGTAACCTGGCATCAGCTAGGCAGCTAGGCGGCACAGTCAATAGAGGGCTGGGCTTGGAGTTGGGAAGACTAATCTTCATGGGTTCAAATCTGGCTTCAGATACTTTCTAGCTCTGTGACCCTGGGAAAGTCACTTAACTCTGCCTCAGTTTCCTCATCTGTAAAATGAGCTGGAAAAGGAAATGGCAGACCTGTCCAGTATCTTTGCCAAGAAAACCCAAATGGGATCACGAAAAGTCAGATACAACTGAAAAGACTCAATAACAGACTAGTTAATCTTAAAAACCCCTTCTAGCTCTAAAAGAATTCCAAAGCCAGGATTTAGAATAGGTTTAGATGTATAAGGTGCCCATGCCATTCCCCACCCTGAAAATGTACTTCACTTGTCTTTGCATATTTAACGCCTACTCATCTTTCCTGGCTTAAAGTGCTATCTTCTCCATGAAGCTTTTTCTGTTTTTCCCCAGAAAATTCAACTTTGTTCCACTTATTCCCAAAAACACTTTCTTTATAAGCCTCTGATGTACTTATCATATTCTATTTTTTATAGTCCTTTATGTATGCCTATATATGTGTATACACACACACACATATATATATGTATATATATATATACACACACACACACACACATACACCATACACCCATAAATATATGTATTCTTTCCCTATAGATTGTAAGCTTCTTGAGGGCAGGGATTGAATATTTCATGTACTGAAGTGAAACTCCATACAGCTTTTTAGACTCTGCTTTTTTCTTTTTCTTTTTCCTTTTCTTTTTTTTGGAAAATCAGGGTAATATTTGCCTTTCTTTTATCCTTCAGTACATCTCCCCTCCTCCATGATATTTCAAAGATCACTGGCAGGAGATCAACAATCATATCAGCAATTAAAAAGAAAAGTAAAGGAGGATGTAGTTCATATGACTTAAATTCATCAAGGGCAGCCAGGTGCTCTTTTATCTTTTTATCAGTGTGGCATAGTGACTAAGAACTGGCCATGAAACCAGAAAGACCCCATTTAAGACCTGCCCCTGACACACGGACAAGTCACTCAACCTCTCTGTGTTCCAGGTGACTTTCTAGTTTGCAGAGAAGGTGCTGACCTGCGTTGGTAGAGGGAATTTTCTTTCCCAGGTATTCCCTATAGAAATGAAATTGCTGGCTAGTCCCTATCCACCATCTCCTTAGTTAACCTTAATTATCAACTACCTATTGGCCCTTTTTGTTTTCTCTCTTTCCAGCCCAAAGCCCATTCCTCATGGCAGACAAGATAGATGCAAAATATTTAGTAGCTCTCACTTCTCTCTTTTCTCGGTTATCAACATTCCATCCCTTATAGTAATGGTCCCATCCCATCTTTGATTCTCCAGTAGTGATATAGCTAAAAGCTCCTTTTTGTTATCTTTCGCTTTCTTCATTAGCCTTAGCTCATCTGAGCTTTATCACTCTTAAATTTCTGAACCTCAATTCTTTTATCCAGTTGCCTATCTCTTTCAGCGTTGTGCCATCTGAAGCTCATACAGCTATATCTTCATCCAAGTCACTGAAAAAAGTAGGAACAGAATAGGTTTTAAACACAGACTTGTATGGCACTCCACTAAGATATTTCCTTCCATATTGAGATCATCTCATTAGTTGACACTCTCTGGGCTTGGTCATAAAGTCACCTTAGCTGTACCACTGTCTACCTTGTCCACAGAAATATTGTTAGAGAATTTTCAAAATGCCTCGCTATGTCCCTGGTGGTCACCTAATTTGCCAGTCTAATAATAAGGATGTCAAAAAAGGAATTGAAGTTAATCCCTCATATTTGCTGTTATTGACCTAGTTAAAACTTGTCACAATTGCCTTCTTTTTAAAATTGATCACAAAATATCCCACAAAGAAGCAGCTGTAGGGTTTTGTCCAGAATCAATGTCTTCTAGGGCTTTTATTTTCCAATAAGAAGACCAACCTGTACCTTGCAGGCACTTAGTGCTTATTTGCCTCAGGAAAAAAGCACAAAACGTTGTACAACATCTGCTAGTCACTAGAATCATTCACTTGCTCTCAGTACCTGTTGAAGTGGAGATCATTAATTATTTAGGTTTTCCTTTAATATTGCTATTTCCTCAGTAAACTGCCTGACTGCTACACCTGTTCATGGTGCCTCCCTCTATCAATCGAGACTTTCCTCATTATTTGGCTTCACTTAGCCTAAATATGAAATAATCAGTAAGTAGTCTCTTATAAAGCTCCTAATGCAAACTGTAGTCTGCAACTGTAAAAGATATTCCTTGCTGAAGGAAGTCTGAACCCCCAATCTTTTCCTTCCTCTCTCCTTTTCTGTCTTTTCCTGTTGCTCAGCACCAACTGGATGTATCTTTTCAATGCTGTTATTTTATCATTCTACTTCTTCCAATGCTGAATACAGTAGGTATTTAATAATTGCTTAATTAAATTCAGAAGAGAACGTTTCTGGTTACTTATGGTGTCATTTTAATGGGCTGTCACCATTTCTAAAAGACAGGATTTTGCTGAACGTTGGTTGCTCAGAGAGTTGCCTTTTTTCAGTTTCACATTTTAGTACATATTTTGTTTTTTTTTTAATAGGCTAAAAACTTGGCCATTAGAGAACAAAATCAGAAAAATGCTGCATATAATCTTGGAGTTGCCGAAGCTATCAGAAGCCATAGGATTGAGAAGCCTGAGTTTTATGTAAGTATTCCTTTTCTCCCACTTCCTCCTTCTCTTTTCTTCCTTTTACTTCTTACACCATTTTTTCCTCTTTCTCCTTTTCCCTTCCTTTTTAATTGGTCCCTTTCTTCCCTTGGTTTCATTTTCTACCCATTCCTCACAGGAAGATCTGAGTTCCAATCACTCTTCTGACACTTTCTAGTCATGTGACCATGGGCAAGTCACCTAACCTCTCTGAGCCTCAGTTTTTAAAATTTTGCCTCAGTTTCTTCATCTGAAAAATGAGGATAATAATTCCTGTAGTATGTATCTCCCCAGGAGGTTATGTGGATGTTATGAGTATCAGGTGATACTCTTTTATCCTTCACTTCATCATTCTTATATTTCTTGCTATAGTTTTTGTTGTTATGTCTGAATGCCGGAGATGCTGTGGTGCAAAGTTAGTGCTTTTCTTCTTTGTGAGTTGGAGTGTCAGCTGGTCTTTTATTCCTTTTGAGTTCCTACATTTCTATACCATAATGTTTTTTACGGAACAAGGTTTTGCCCAAGCAATCTGCAGTAATAAATTAGACTGTTACATTAAAGCCTGCTAATCCCCTTTACTATTTACTAATATCCAATGCAACCTTTTCTTTGTGATGAAGCTTGGACACTGTTTAATATGAACATTTTTGGGCAATGTCACTTTCTTGCAAGTATGACCAACTAACAGTTGGATGTGGCTTCTACCTTGGAGTTGAGACAGACTTAAAATTGGTTGCTTTGGAGGAAATCGAAGAATGATGTTGTCAGCCAGCCAGCTTCCTGAGATTCTTACATAGAGAGAATTTCCTCCTATCTTGAAGAAAACAAGATAGAGAGTCTTGAATAGAAAAATGCTCTTTTGCTGATGGTTTTTAGGACCAGGACATATATTACAATAAAATTATTTCTGGTCAATTCTGAGGCAAAGTTAATATCCATTTTTTATTGCCTGTTTCAGAAAAATTTACTGATGGAAGAGCCTTATATTCATCATGCCCTGATTCACTCACATATTATTGTAATGGAAAGAAGTTGAGTTTAAAGTCAAAAGATGTGTTATTTACTTCCTTTGGACCTTGGACACATTATTCCTCAGTCTCCTCATTTATAAACTAATTATGACATTAGGTTAGATTATCTTTTTCAAATTTAAATCTCTGATTCTATGAACTTAAGACATTTGAAGATCTCATGAAAGTATTAAAAGCAGTGACATCACAGGCAGAATGATATCATTCTGTGTAGAGATTTAAATTTCACAAAAAGAGTCAGCAGTATGGTGAGGATATTACTACTTATATCCCAGAGCTGACCCACATGTCCCAACAATTTGTTTTTTTTTTTAGTAGATGTCCTGCAGGATTACATTGGAAGTAGAGATTGTGATGAAACATTTGTGCTTCTTGATGGATCCAAATTTGAGATTTATCACCTCTCAAGAGAAGTTAAAAAAAATGTTGTCTGTCACATGCAGGCAGAGCCAATTCAACAGAATTCAGGAAATGCGTTTTCTACCATATTTATAGATAACTAGAGATAGAGGTAGATTTATAGATATGCCAACCATAGCTCAGGCTGCAGATGCCCAGCTTGCAGATTCAAGGATAAGGAATGATGATTCTGTAAGAAGAGGTGCCTTGAAAGCATGCCATTTCAGAATCTATCAGAGAGGAACTTGGGAACTGTTAATAGTTTCTTGTATGCCTACAAACAGGTCGTCTCGATTATTCACACAACCGAAAAAAACCCACAGGATTGTACCATATTAATAGTTAATGGAAAAAAAAAGGTAGTTAATGGCAAGGTGCTTCAGAACATTGCAGTATTTGTCACAGTACTCAGAAAAGGCTTTGAGCACAGTGGGTCAACGTACTGAGATATTTATGTGGATCTGAGGGAGATTGTGTGACTCCTTGACAAATTCAACAAATATTAAGTGCCTACTGTATATATGACACTATGATAAGTGCTTTAGGTAGAAAGACAAAAAATAATCCCTGACTTCAAGGGGCTTATATTTTTGTTGTTGTTGTAGTTGTCATTTTTTTTCAGTTATGCCTTACTCTTGGTGACCCCATTTGGGGATTTCTTGGCAAAGATACTGGAGTAGTTTGCCATTTCCTTCTCCAACTCATTTCACAGATGAGGAAACTGAGGCAGACAGGATGAAGTGACTTGCCCAGGGTCACACAGCTAGTAAGCGTCTGAGGCCAGATTTGAACTCAATAAGATGAGTTTTTCTTGACTCCAGGCCCAGCGCACTATTCACTGCACCAAGGCCACCCTCTAACAAGGTATCTCTCCTGGGCAAAGATAAAAATGTACAAGGGTCATTGGAAGAAACAACAACAAAGATAACTTTGTTTCATGACTCTTTGATTACTAACACTAAACAGAGAGGTGGATGCTCTCCAACAGTGTTTGTCAATGTCATGGAGAATACCTGGTGAGGACTCTAATAGTGAAGTGGGACTCCTTTTAGATGATAAGGTCCTTCATCTTCTGCTGTTGTGGATGACATTGTGCTCCTAAATAAGCCTCCTAAATAAGATCCGTAATCAAAAGAGATTGTCTTAACTACCCGCTCAGAAAAAAAAATCAGTGGGAGCTGTCTTTCCAGATCTAGGATGTACAATTGATTACTGGTGGTATTACCCACATGAATGAGAGATCACACATCGATAAAAGTATCTAAGAAGTACAAATAGGGAAATGGAAGCTTGTAAAGGTTAACACTAGAAGGGCCAGTTGTCTAAATTGTGTCATTAACACAAGAATGTTTTTGTAATTTTAAAAATAATTTTCTGATATAACTTGCTATAATTTTCCTCCTCAGGATGGTAGTTAGGCCTTTTATAGTCCAGCTCCAGCTGTTTTGCAAGTAAGTGTACTGTATTTCTCCCTTTCATGTATTCAATGGTTCAGCCAAAGTGGCTTATTTGTCCTTCTCTGTACATAGCATACCACCTCCTGCCTCTGTGACTCTGCAAAGGATGTTCCCTGTGCCTGACATGCACTCTCTCCCCACCTGTAACTCTTAAAATTCCTAGCATGTTACCAGGCTTAGCTCAAATATTTCTTTGTATAAACTTTGTAAATATTTTATATTTTCTTATGTGCCTGTTTTATTTTTTCCTCTAACAGAATGTAAGCACCTTAAGGTCAGGATATATTTTTGTATTTTTAAAAATATTTCATATATTTTTATATTTGTATTTTAGTGCTATACATATAATAGGCCCTTAATAAATGAATGGAAGACCCATTGCTTCAATACAAAACATCCATTATTAACTTTGCAAGATCTCAGATTGTCTGACGTAAAAACTAGATGTGGAGAGGGCACGCAATAGTGAAAGATTTTTGAGATATTAAAACCATTCATGAGACATTGACATGAGTTATCCACCAGTGAAGAGTGTCTTTTATGGAGAAACCACACTATTATTCCAGAAAGCAGACATCACGCGACCTTGGTTACTCTATATGTTGTACACCTCTCTTGGGATGCCTTACCCCCTCACTTCTGTCTCTTAGTTTTCCTGTCTTCCTATAAGACTCAGTTCAAATCTCACTTAAGGTGGCTTTCCCCAGCATCCCTAATACTACTCTCAGAGTTCTTTTATTATTTATTTATTTTTTTTTGGTGAGGCAATCAGGGTTAAGTGACTTGCCCAGGGTCCCACAGCTAGTAAGTGTCAAGTGTCTGAGGCTGGATTTGAACTCAGGTCCTCCTGACTCCAAGGCCAGAGCTCTATCCACTGCGCCACCGAGCTGCCCCTCAGAGTTCTTTGTAATCTATTTAATTGTTTCTGTACATATCGTGTCCCTCATTATACTAATGTGAATTCCTTGAGGGTGCGAACTGTGTTTTTATCTTTCTTTGCATCCTTGGTAGTTAGCACAGTGCCTGGCATATAGTATGCACTCATTAAATTTGTGTTGATTTGACTTGATATCTGGTAACTGTTGAACACATTGACTAAAAATTGTTTGGTAGCACAGAACTGATTTGAATATTGAAAAGACTGATAAGGAGCAGAGCATATAGTGACACCATTTATATATTTTTTGGTTACAAAGCATTTATTTGCCTTCCTTGTCTCATTTGATTTTTAGACACCCCTGGGTCAGCAATAATGTCTGATTATGGGGGAAGGAGAAGGGAACAAGCATTTAAATAGCACCTACTATGTGACACCAATGTGCTAAGTGCTTTACAATTATCATCTTATTTGGCCCTCACAACAACTTTGTGAAGTTGGTGCTTTTACTAGTTCCATTTTATAGTTGAAGAAATTGAGGCAAACAAAAATTAAGTGATTTGCCCAGGGTCATGCTGCTAATAAGTGTCGGAGGTTGGATTTAAACTCAAGTCTTCCTGACTCCAGTTCCAGGACTATGCACTGCATCATCACCTGGCTGCCATGGTCCCAAAGAGCATGATTGGGAGAAAGAGCCAGTAAAGGATTCCTATCCCTTGTTACTAGTTATCAGTCAGCTTCTGAACCAATCCTACTTTAGTATACTGAGAGTTCTGGTTTTTTCCTTTTAGAGTATTGCAGGTCTGTGCAAATTGACTAGGAGAGAACGCTTATATAAAAATGGGTATGCAAAGGAAGCCAGGTCCTTAGTGTCTGGTGGTTTCGCTCCTTGGCTTTCTGATGTCATGAGTTACTTGTATCTTGGTCTTTACCAGAGCTGGTATTGCATCTTCTGCTTATCCTGAAAAGCGGATTCCCTTGTGGGGTTCAGCTAGCACAGGTAGGTTGTGTTAGGGGCTAGGAAAACTCCCCCGGTCCTTAGGCTAATTGAACCATCAATAGGGCAGTTTCCTAGAATGAAAGTTGGCTCCTAAGATAGTGTGTTTCCAGACTCACATCTGACATATGATTTTCCTTTTTACCAGTAGTAGGATTAGGAGTAGATTGGAGAAGAAAGGGGCAGCAGACAGCAGCTCTAACACAAGGCCACTTAATTTAACTCATCACTTCCATGGAAGATGACAAAGAGACTTCAATTTAAAGAAATTATTTACTTGGAAGGGCCATTCCAGAGGAAGAACCTAGTTATCAAAGATTCCTCTTTAAAATAATAAATTCTATAAATGCTACTCTGTACTGATTATTTGTCACACATATGTGCCATTTTTGACAATGAGCCTACATTTACCTCAGTTGATTGAGGAATTTATGGATGGGACTTTTTCTTTATACAAGCTTGACAGTGTTGTAACTCCTCACCCTCAAGGAAATGGTTAGGTTGCAAATGTGGTGCAGATAAAAAAATTATGTCTTGAAGTAGATTGTTGGAGGACATTAGACAGCAAGTCTTGTCATGTTTTTAATTGCTTACCATGCCCAACTGCAGGAGTTAGTTCTGCTCAATTACTAACGGCATGATTTCTCTAGCATTTAGCCCACATATGGTAATCATTTGCTAAATGCTTTTTCATTCATTCATTCAAGATGTGTCTCAACCACCTCCACAGCATACTGAACCAAGGATTTATGACCATCTCCATTTCACAGGCTCACGGGATTTACAGTTAGAAGGAACCCAATGGATGATTCAGTCCATTCCTTTAGTTTTACAGATAAAGAAACTAAGGCCCAGACATTTTAGATGACTTGCCGAATGGAAACTGCTTAAATGGGTAGTAAATAGCAGAGGTAGGATTTGAATTCAGGACCCCCAACTCCATATTTAAGGCTTTAAATGTGTCATTTAACTTCCTCCTTGTTCCTCTAATTTGCATATGATATCACTTCTTATGTCTAAATCATGTACCCGTTTAGAGGTTGTCTTGATATATAGTGTGATGATACAGTGTGAGTGTCAGTCTATATCTATTTCCTGCCAGCCTGCTTTCCATTTTTTCAAACAACTTTTGTTGAATAGTGAGTTCTTACCCAAATAGCTGGGATCTTTAGGTTTATTCAACACTAGGCCACTGTGCTTGTTTGCTTCTATATGTTGAATAACTAATTTGTTTCACTAATCGACCTTTCTATTTCTTACCCACCACAAAATTGTTTTAATAGTTACTGCTTTGTAATATAGTTTGAGATCTTGTATTATGAGGCTCCCTCCTTTCAACTTTTTTTCATTAATCCCTTTGATATTCTTGAATTTTTCTTCCTTCAGATGATTTCCTCTCCCTAATTCTAGAAAGTACTTTTTTGGTAATTGATGACATGGCACTTAATAAGTAAAGTAATTTAGGTAGTATTGCCATTTTTATTATATTTTCTTGGCCTTATCATGAGCAATTAATATTTCTCCAGTTATTTAGAAATGCCATTATTCATGTTCAAAGAGTGTTTTATAATTGTGTTCATACAGTTCCTCTGTGTGTTTTGACAGGTAGACTCCCAAGTATTCCATCCTTTCTACAGTAATTTTAAATAAAATCACTCAATTTCTCTCTGTTAGATTTTATTGGTAATATACAGGAATGTTAATTATTTACGCAGGTTTATTTTATATGCTGCAACTTTGATGTTGTTAGTTGTTTCAATTAGTTGAAGCTTTAGGGTTTTCTAAGTAAACCATCATATCATCCACAAAAAGTGATCATTTTATTTATTCTTTACCTAAATTTATTTCTTCAGTTTCTTTTTCTTGTCTCATATTGCTAGCGTTTCTAGTACTGAATATTAATGATAATAATGACATCCCTGTCTTACCTTTGCTTTTGCTGGAAAGGCCTCTAGTTTATTTCCTTTACAGATAATATTGGCTTTTCATTTTAGATAGATCACTACTTATCATGTGAAGGAAAGATTCACTTTTCCCTATGTTTTCTAATGTTTTTAATAGGAATGGGTGTTGTATCTTGTCAAAAGTTTTATTTTGCATCTATGGATATGATCATGATTTTTGTTGTTTTCATTACTAATAAGGTCTGTAATATTTATAGTTTTCTAATATTGAATTAGTTCTGTATTCCTAGCATAAATCTAGTCTTAAGCATAGTGTATATTCTTTCTTATGTATTGCTATAGTTAATGTTAAATTTTTTTTACATCAATATTCATTAGGGATCTTGGTCTATAGCATTCTTTCTCTGTTTTGAATCTTTCTGGTTTAAAATGAAGACCATATTTGCATTATTGATGCAATTTTGTGGGACCCTTTTTACCCCCTTTATAAACAGCTTATGTAGTATTGGAATTAATTATTCTGTAAGTATTTGATAGAATTCCCTTTGTAAATCCATCTAGTCCTGGTTTTTTTTTCCTTTGGGAGTTCACTTTTAGCTTGTTCAATTTCTTTTTCCTAAGATTGAGTTATTTAAGTCCTTTATTTCCTCTACTGTTAACCTGAGCATTTTTTGTAAATATTCATTAATTTTATTTAGATTATCAGTTTTTTGGCATATAATCAGGTAAAATAGCTCATAGTATTTTCTTTTATTTCTTTATTCATTGTAAATTTTCCTTTTAAATTTTTGATACTGGTAATTTGGTTTTCTTTTTTAAATCAAATTAGTTAATGGTTTATCTACCTTAGCGTGTACATGTGTGTGTATGTGTGTGTGTGTGTGTGTGTGTTTTTAAAGAGCTCCTAGTTCTATTTATTAATATAATTTTTTTTTGCTTTCAATTTTGTCAACTGATTTTCAGGACTGCTATTTTGGATTTTAATTGGAGGTTTTTATTTTGTTAGTTTTCTATTTTTTAAAAAAAAATTATATGCCCAAGTCAATGATTTATTCTTTCTCATTTTTATTGATGAAAGTGTTTATAGATATGAACTTCCCCCCATAGAACTGATTTGGCTTTATCTTCATAATTTTGGTGTGTTGTCTTATTGTCATAATTTTCTTTAATGAAGTTAACAATTGTTTCTATGATTTCTTCTTTTACCCACATGTCCTTTAGAATTATTATTCATTCTCCAATTAACTTTTTATAGTTTCTTTAGTGGCTCTCTACTAAATATAATTTTATTGCATTGTTCGTAACAGATGTGTATTTAATATTTCAACTTTTCTGTATTTACTTGTGAGGTTTTTACGCAGTAAATTTTTGTTAAGGTGTCATACACCACTGAGAGAAATACGTATACACCTTTCCATAATCTCCAGAGGTCTATGATAATCTAAATTTTCTAAAATTCCATTCAGGTCATTTTTGTTTATTCATATTTTTGGTTAGACTTACCTAGGTATGAGAAGGATTAATTGTGATTCCTCACTATTATAATTCTGCTGTCTATTTAACTCATTTAACTTTTCCTTTAATAATTTATAAGCAATGTCATTTGGTGCATATATGTTTACTATCAATATCATTTTATTCTCTATGGTACCTTTCAGCAAAATGTAGTTTCCCTGTTTATATTTTTTAATTAGGGCCATTTTTGCTTTTGCTTTGTTTGAGATCATGATTATTGCTCGTGCTTTTTTTTTTAAACTTCAGTTGAGAAGCATAATAGATTCTGTTCCAGCCCCTTATTTTATCTGAGTTCATCTTTCTGTTTTAAGTTTGTTTCTTGTAAGTAACATATTGTTGAATTCCCATTCCCATTCACAATTACAGTTGTTAATTGTGTAGTTACCTCAATCCTATCTTCATAATTTTTCTCTTTGTTTTCTGCCCCCTTTTAAGAGTTTTTTTGGCTTAAGATTAATCTCTTCTTTAATCTGCCCTCCTAATTCTCCCCATTTCCCTTTTCCCTTTTATCTCCTTTTTCCAATTAAGTTAAGATGAATTTCTGTATCTAACTCTCTCTCTCTCTCTGTATGCATTTGTTCTTTCCTCCTTTCACCAGTTCAGATGAGAGTGCCATTCAAGTATACACACTCCCCTTCCTTCTTGTTTGTATAATCTTCTACTTGCACAACCCAATTATGTGAGATAATTTCCCACATGTGTCTTTTCCCTCACCATAGTATATTCTTCTCCTTCCTTTCTGTTCTTCTTTTTAAGGTCATCAGAACACAATAATCACTCCCAGGCCCTCTATCTAATTAGACTCCCATCTGTGACCCCTGATGATGATAGGGTTCTGAGCGAATACATGTATTATCTCCCCGTATTAGAAGGTAAATAGTTTATCTTTGTCTAATTATTTATGGCAGCTCACTCACATTGGCCCTTTTATGCTTCTTTTGACCTTTATTGTTGTACTTCAGACTTTCTATGCAAGTCTGGTATTTTTGTCAGGCATTCTTGGAAGTCCTGTATTTCATTTCAGTTTAGCTGTTCTTCAGTTGTGTCTGACTCTTCATGACCCCGTTTGGGGTTTTCTTGGCAGAGATACTAGAGTGGTTTGCCATTTCCTTCTCCAGCTCATTTTATAGATAAGGAAACTGAGGCAAATGGGTTAAATGACTCATCCAGGGTCACATAGCTAGTAAGTGCCTGAGGTGGGATTTGAACTCATGAAGATGAGTCTTCTTGATTCCAAGCCCAGTGCCCTATCCACTGTACCACCTAGCTGTCTTTTCTAATAATTAGCATTGTTCAAGGAGGATATGGACTACCTCAAGAGACAGAGGATTTCTCCTCACTGGAAGTTTTCAGTCAAAGGCTGGATAACTACTTGGTGTGTGTGATATGGAAGGGATCCTTTTTCAGGTGTAGGATGGACCTAAGAATCCCCTCCAACTCTGCAATTGGTTGATTCTATAATTCTTTGGTTCTGGCATTATATCCCTAATACCTTTTTATAACTCTCAATCTTGTGTTGCCATGATTCATCACTTGCTGATGTCTTTTTTTCTGAACTACTTTCTGCTGTACTTATAATTTAGTACTTGTTTCCTGAATGTTTCATGTTTACATGTCTTGTTTCCCCCTACAACAGGAATATGAGCATCTGGAGGTCAGGGGGGCCACTTCTTTTGTCATTCCTCAGCAGCCGGTAGTGAGCCGAACCCTCAATGAATGCTCAGTCGATTGAGTGAAGGCTTTTGAATCTTCATCTCCAATTGTTTGTGCTCTTAGCATGAATGAACTGCTCTTTCATTCCAGAAATCCTATATTTTTGACAAACGACCACTTAGTCCTGAGATTAATTCTGCTAAGCAAGAGGAATATTCCCAAGGTCTTTTGAAACAAATGGAGAGCAAACGAGAAAAGGAACTAAAGCAGAAACAGAATACCGAGCTAATGGACCGCCTGGAACAAGTGCAGCTCACGGAAGAGTAAGTCCAGTTTGCCCTTCTCTGAACATCGGAAAGTGAGCTTTTGTATTGATGATTCCTAGTGGGACTTGACCCTGTGCTAATGTTCTCATTACCACTCGGCTGTAATAACTGGCCCCAACAGAAACTATTTCACAGAACAAAATCTCAATGTAGAAATTATTTTTATTATTTTTATTGTTTTCATTAGCATAACCATTATTTAGTCTTTCTGTAACCTCTGCCATTTTTAAGTGCTTTGGTATTACTAGATGCAGGCAAGGTCATAGAGTCATGCGGTGAGTTGGCATTTTTCCCATTTAGGTGCAAATGGTTAGATGAGATGTAAACAGAATAGACATGGTGCTGTGCTTTGCATCAGTGCTGTCAAACTCAAATGGGAATGATCCCTTCAGGGAACATATTGATTTAGAAAATCACAATGTCATATTATTTTATTTTTATTTTGTTAAACATTTCAATTATATTTTAATCTGGTTCCTCCACAGAAGTTCTGGTGAGTGAGTTTGACCTCTCTGCTACATCATCAAAAAAGCATGTCTGTTCCTTCCTTAAGAGCTATCCTTTTCATAGTAAGGGATGGACACAACCAGAGTTAAATGCTCAGGAGACATCTATTGAACTGAAACAAGTATATTCTAGGAAATAAATACATACAATATATGCTAACATAATGCTTACATGCTTAAGAGTGCACCCCACTTTACATAAAGGCTGCATGTAAACGAAATCTTTTTTTGGTTTGTTTTGTTTTTTGCTAGGCAACTGGGGTTAAGTAACTTGCCCAGCGTCACATAGCTAGGATCAAGTATCAAAGCCAGATTTGAACTCAGGTCCTCCTGACTTCAGGGCCAGTGCTCTTATCCACTATCTAGCATCCCCTGGAATCATTCTTTAGTTCCTTTTTTTTTTTTTTTAAGGCAATTGGGGTTAAGTGACTTGCCTGGGGTCACAGAGCTAGTAACTGTCGAGTGTTTGGTGTGAGGCCGGATTTGAACTCAGGTCCTCCTGACTTCAGGGCCAGTGCTCTTATCCACTATCTAGCATCCCCTGGAATCATTTTTTAGTTCCTTTTTTTTTTAAGGCAATTGGGGTTAAGTGACTTGCCCGGGGTCACAGAGCTAGTAAGTGTCAAGTGTTTGGTGTGAGGCCGAATTTGAACTCAGGTCCTCCTGACTTCAGGGCCGGTGCTCTATCCACTGTACCACCTAGCTGCCCCGAGTTCTTTTTTTTTTTTTTGTGAGGGAATTGGGGCTAAGTGACTTGCCCAAGATCGCACAGCTAGTGTCAAGTGCCTGAGTCTAGACTTGAACTCAGGTCCTCCTGACTCCAGGGCTGGTGCTCTATCCACTAGGTCACCTACTTGCCCCCAGAATCACTTTTTAAGAGTGAAATTCTCTACTCAAAGGAATCTTGGCAATGGCTTTTGTTTAGTGAATAATCAGTCACACCTTAATTTATCTGCTTGTAAGTATAGATGTTTATGTCAAGTTTTATATAAAGTGGGACACATTTTGATTATGAACATTCACAGTATTATGCTTTTTGGTTGCATATTGCCTTTGTGTAGCATTTATGTCTGTTTAAAAATATTAGCTCTCAATGGAGAGCGTCTGATTCTTCTTTTTTCTTTGCTTTGTACAGTGCCTAGTACTGGGTCTCAATTCCTTCTTTAAAAAATTTAATTTAATTTTTGTTTTCAATTCTAAGTTCTCTCATTCCTTCCATCCCCTTCCCCTGTCGTTGAAAAGACAAGAAATACCGTAACTGCGTGTCATGCCCAAAGGTGCTGAATTAATTTTTCTTTATATTCTCAGTGCACAGTTCCTTGCACATCCTAGGTGCTTAATGCATGCTTACTGATTAACTGGTCAATAATGATGAGCTGTATTTCTTGGAAATGTGGCTAAACCTTCTCTCCTTTTCCTACCTCTCCGTCTTGTCCTTAGTTTGGCTGCCCAAAGATCAAAGTACTTAAAAGATAGGATGGAAGAAGCGCACTATTACAAGAGGGCCTTGGATGCCCAGGTAGGAGGCTAACCCTCAAAGCATGTCATTGTGTTCTGTGCACAAGCTCGTCTTGTCCAATCTGAGTATTGGATTCCTGGGAAAAACTCGCCCTCTCTCCCCATCTGTATTTAGATAAAGAACAGGCCACCTCCACTGCCCGTGTTTGAGCCGGATTCATCAGAGCCTATCTTGGGAAGATGGACACGTCTAATGAACGTTTGGCAGAAAGGAAGCAGCGGGAACAGAAGTACATGAAACACCAGCTGCAGACGGTTGCCGACCAGAAGAGGACAGCCATCCTGCGCCAGCTGGTGGATCAGAAGCGGGATATAGACATGTTGCAGAAGACCCAGAGAGAGTAAGGATGCTGGGAATTGAGCCGAACAAATTTCCATAAACATTTGCATACGCACATACATACATACAAAGCGTGCACACATAATACACGTGGAAAAGGTTTGGAACACTTTGGGCCGCCGATATGTACAATGCACACATGCACATGAAAGCCCCTTCTTATGCACATAATAGAATGTATGGTGCAGATATGCATTTATCCATCCCTTCATACAACCTACACATGCACACACAACTGTGTGCATCCAAACGTGTGCACACTCACAAAAACATGCAAACTCTAAGCAAAAATAAATGTGTCATGGCTAACTTGGCCGGACAGAGGATGAGGATGTAGCTCAGGATTCTGCCCAGGGTCAGACATGGTGTTACACTGTAGCAGCGGCCATTCTGGAGCTGACCATGCGGTCTCTCCACCCTCTCTGTGGCTACTTACCCCGCTGCTCATTTCATGGCCCTGTTGTGAGATAACCCCATGAGAATGAAAAGCACCTCTAAACACCACCATCCAACTCTCACTCCTTGCCGGAATTCACCAAGAGTAGACATTGTGACTAAAGGTACAGTTATACTCCTGGTGCTTCAATTTACCTTCAACCCACCAACACTGCTAAAACATTCTATGATCACCTATCCATGTAAGGATGAAAGAAATGTCACGCTTGATCAGTCAGTCATGACCCCTGCTCGCCCTGCTTCCCATACCCCCACAGCTCCACAGTCTTCCTCTGATAGTCATTGCTGAGGGAGAGTGGAGGTAACCATTATTATGCTCACCTCAGAAGGCTCAGGGATATTCCTGGTTCCCCATATAGTCCTGTCTAATGCTGCCACAGAAAAATCTCTCACTGCCTGTACTACCCTCCAGAAGAGTGGCTATAATCTAACTGGGAATTGCTATCCAAAAGTAAAATGGGCTTTCTTATGAGGTAGTGAGATCTCCATCATTGCAAGGTGTCAAGCAGAGGCTAGGGCAGGGGTGGGGGACCTGAATTCAGTCCAAGTGCCCCACTTGAGGACCAAGACGGCCACATGTGGCCTCGAGGCCTCAGGTTCCCCTCCCCTGGGCTAGGGGACTACTTGCTGGGGAGATTGTAGCAGGGACTTTCAATTTTCAAGTATAAGTTGCATTAGAAAGCCTCTAAGGTGTCCCTTTCTAAGCCTGACACTCTGAAATTCTCTAAGCATTTAGCAAACACAAAGAGTGTTTACTGAGTACTAAAGATTCTGTTTATTTTTTTTTTCAGGAGAATAAAAAGAATAAGGAATAAAAGCTTTGGGCACCCCAGCTGAGGTTCCCTGAAGTGCTTATATTTGCCTAATCCTCTTGGGGGATTTCCCTCCTGCTGGGCTGCCCCCAACAAGAGCCTCTTAGGATTATTGTATTATTATAATATTTTAATCCACAGTCCCTCAACATTTGTCTTTCATATGGTTCTTGGATTTCACTAATGACTATCCTGGGTCTCTAGGCTTTTGTGCTATGGAATCTGCCCATGACCATGGACAATAGGGGCAGTTGGATTTCAGAAATTTGCTATTATATGACCATGAGACTAGTGTGATGTTGGTGGTAAAAGAGTCTGCTAGAGTTGGTAAGACGTGATTAACTAGGGCAACGGGGAAGTGATTTTTCATGGATGGGTAGAGTTGCTTAGAGGATGGTTGGGGCAGGGCAGCATGAATCTGGGGCTAAGTTGCCAAGACATTCAGTAGGAGAAGAGGTATCACTAACACTCAACTTGTAGTCAGGAGACCTGTTCTGGGTTCAAGTCCAAGCTTATTGTTTGTAAGCTATATATTTTGTGGGCTCAATTTCCTCCTCTGAGAAAGGAGAGGGTTCTATTAATTTCAGTCCCATTGCCAATTCTAACACATTGGTTCAAGGTCTACTGGGCACAGAACACTGTACTTGGCAACTGGGGAGATGGAAAGTTTAGGAAAGAGAGTCTCTGCCTTCAAAGTGCTTATAGTGTAATCATTAACAAGTTAAATGTAAAGATCGTAGAGCTGTTTCTCTCTCCACACCTTCTTCTTTCTAATGTTCTTACATACATATAAATTGGGGCTGGAAAAGGGACCAAGATCAGTTAATCCCATTCATTCATTCCACAGGTACAGGTAAACCAATTCAATCCAATAAATATTTATTAAGTGCCTACTGGGCTACATGCTGCAGAAGACCCAGAGAGAGTAAGGACTGGGCTAATCACTGAGGATACAATCGACAAAAAGAAAGACAGTCCTTACCCTCAAGGGGCTTACACTCTAAGGAGGGGAGACAACACACAAAAGGAGCAGAAAAGCTGGGGGAGGGGTGTGGAGGAAAGAGGGAAACTTGAATCTTCATGTATAACAATTTGTGCTGTTTGGGTTTTTAGCATAAATAAATTGCTTCTCTAGTCCAGAAATCCTTCACTTTTGACAAATGACCACTCAGTCCTGAAATTAAAATTGGGGGGGGGCTAGGCAATGGGGTTAAGTGACTTGCCCAGGGTCACACAGCTGGTCAGTGTCAAATGTCTGAGGCCAAATTTGAACTCAGGTCCTCCTCACCCTAGGGCCAGTGCTTTGTCCACTGCTCCAACCTAGGTGCCCCATGAAATTAATTTTGCTAAACAAGAAAGTACCTGGGGACATCTTGTTCCATGGAATTGAAACCAGGCAGAGCATCAGATGTAGAGTGGAATGAAGCAAAAGTCCAGTTTCTGCGCTTTATAAAGGAAGGCCTTAGAAGGAGTTTGGTAGTCTACCCTCCAGCCCTCCTGTCAAAGGGGAGGAGAGGCTGAGGAAGGTGGTGTCAGTTAAGGCTTGAATTAACAGCATGGTGATGAGATTAGAAGTGAGCTGAGATGGATAATATTTTGTCCAAGGTCACATAGCTAGTAAGTAGTAGAAATGATCAACTTAACCTAAATCCTCTTTGAGCCGGAATTAATTAATCAACAAGTATTTGTTAAGAGTCTACTGTGTGTGGGGCAGCTAGGTGGTGCAATGGATAGAGCACTGGCCCTGAAGTCGGGAGGACCCGAGTTCAAATCTGGCTCAGACCAAACACTTGACACTTACTAGCTGTGTGACCCTGGGCAAGTCACTTAACCCCAATTGCCTCAAAAAAAAAAGTCTACTGTGTGCCAAGTACTATGCTAGGTGTTGGAGATACAATGACAAAAATGAAATAGTCTTTACCTTCAAGGAGCTTACAGTCTATAAGGGAAGATAAAATATACATGTAGAATACATAAACCAGTAAGTATACAAATGACCTCTTATTTTCTCAGCAAAGTTATGAGGCCATGCTGATGCCTTCTTTCCCCTTCCCTTTCAGCTCCCTATTATGTGTTGTCCTCTGTTAGAGTGTAAGCACCTTGAAGGCAGAGATTGTTTTTCTTTTAGCTTGGATTTGTATCTCCAGGACTTATTAGGGCACCTGACACTCAGTAAAGTTAATAAATGTTGCTTATTGCCTCAGCTGAGAGGGAAGGGAAAGTGTTGGAGGTTTGAGAGAAAAGAAGGTTTGGAACAACTTCCGTGGGGAGAAAGAGGATCGTTTTGCTGCCGTGAAAGCCCAGCTGAGATTAGCTTACATAAATTGTAGTTGGCCCATTCAGCTCAGTTTCTCCTCTTCTGTTCATGATGAAGACCTGAGAAGGAATGAAGGAAGTGGACAGTGGCAATTATCTCAGGCTGGGATTGGGATGGATGAATGTTGGTATAGGACAAAAGTTAAGCGATTCTAGGGCATAGGACAGTGTGGAGTGAACTCATTACCTATAGGATTAAAAGATTATATAAGATTTGGAAGGAAAGAAAGAAACACAAAGCCAGAGCAGAGTTAATGACCTGAGAAGGGGATAGAGGGAGTGGAGGTCATGATTAAGGTGTAAAATAGGGTGAGAGGAGTGAAGACATGGGGAAAGATGAAATGACAGGAGGCCATGATCTAATAAAGGGATTTGGGAGTTTTTGATGGTTAAATGGAACCCTTTTGGGTGATGGAGAAATCCAGGGTGTGACCATCTCTTTTATGTGGCTGAGGTACAGTGGGAGAAAAATAGATCTTCGGCTGAGAGGAGATTGAGGGACCAAGAGGCCGGGTGTTTCAGAGAACATCAACATGTATGTAGAAGTCTTCCACTAACATAAAGCATTGTTCTCTTATAGGAATATCCCTGAGAAATGGTTCTCCAGCCTCTACTGGAAGATTTTCCTAGGGAGGAAAGAGTAATGATGTTCAAAATGCAGACGAATGAAACGATTGCAAACATTTTTATGAGAGAATACTGACCCCTAGTGGCTATTGCTAGTCTAAAGCAAAGTGAGGCCCAGTCTGTGCCTATGGTCAACTCAGTGCATAGTTGGGAGTTCACTTTGGAAGCCCCAGATCAAAATAAGAACAAAATAAGCAGACACAGAAATGAAAACTTATTTTATATTTCTTTGAGACTGGAAGAAGTGAAAATGAAACAACTAAGTGGAGACAGTAGCTTGGTCTATTAGAGAAAGCCCTGGTCTAAGAGAAGATTCGGGGTCTAGTTCTAGCTGTGTTTATAAACCTAATGGGCAATTGGTTCACTTTGCCTGTCTGGGCCTCAGTGTTGTTATCTGTTAAATGAGACTAGATGGGCTCTAAGAACCTTCCGTGTTCTATGGACTGCACATTTGGCCCATTAAGTATCCCAATCACTCTGACTGCATATTTGAAGACCATTGCCTTTCCCCCCAACCCAGGCTACAGAATATGTGACAGGCAACATGGTTTATGGAAAGAGCATTAAATTTGGAGAAAAGTAGCCTTTTCTCAAGCCACTTTTACTCACTGAATGGTGTTTAGCAAGTCCCTTCACCTCTCTTTGCTTCAGTTTCCTCATTTAAAAAAATGGGGATCATAATCTTGCCCTCCCTGTTTCATAGTGTGGTTTGAGAGTTAGCGATCTGTAAGCTTACGCTAAAATGTAGACTGCTAGAGAAATGTGAGCTATAATTATTAGAGACTGAGAAAACACAACATCATTGTATCTGGAGGTCAAATAAATAATACTCTATTCATTTCTCTGCCAATGACACCACTGCATACATTACAGGGTACATAGCCTCACAGGCAATGGAAGGTTTGTTTTATTTAACAAAGAAGTTGCCTGTTTCACTTGCTGATGCCTGTTTGCTTCCCCCGCCCCAGTTCATTTCTGTGCCAAATTCTGTGCCCTCCACTCCCCTCCCCTACCTCATGCCCCACGACTTCAACAGGGTGAGATTAAAATTTGGGCTACTATAGTGGCCATGATGACAGAGGGGAAGGTTTGTGACTATTGGTCCCTAGGGGGTGAATTTCCATCAAAAGCAGTATATATCAGAGTCGTTGGTAACAATAGGCCTGAAAACCAAATTGTGTAAACTCTAGAAAACAGCCTGAGATAATGAAAAGATCCCTGATTAGCCTGGGAGTCAGAAGATCTGAGTGCTAGTACAGGCTGTGCAGTTCACCTTTGGGTTACCTTGGAAGAGTCCCTTTCCCTTGCTGGCCCTTACTCTCCTCAATATATCAACTGAGTGGATTAGCTTATATGCTCTAAGGTCTTTTCCAGTTCTAATGTTCTGTGATGTCAGTGAAATGGTAAATCTTGAAGACGTGGAATGTAGAGAGGCTGAGTTTCATAATAATAGCTAGCATTTCTATAGTGTGTTAATGTTTTCAAAGTGCTTTTATTGCAATTTTTGATATCCTTTTACAGATGAAGAAATTAAAGGAGACACAAATTAAGTGACTTGCCTAGGGTCATACAGCTAGGACGTGTCTGATGGTGCATTTGAACTCAGGTCTTCCTGACTCAAGGTCCAGTGCTCTATCTATTGCACTATCCAGCTGCTGACCCATGGCAATATACAAAAAAGGCAAGAGAGCTGGGCCTGGAGCCAGAAAGACCTAGGTTAAAGACCTGTCTCAGACCCAAATTCTCTGATGACCACCAGCAAGTGACTTAACCATTCAGGCTGGCAGGAAGCTCTCTAAGGCTATTAAGTTGCTGAGAAAGTACATCAACAGAGGAGGCTCACTGCCAGGAGCTCTGAAATCAGGTCTATTCCCTGGACCCTGTTGATTTTAATAATGTTAATATTCAACATTTATATGGAGTATATATATATATATATATATATATATATATGTATTTATGTATGTATACAGATACATACATATCTCCTCTTAGTTTCACAACCCTGGGAAGTAGACATATTGTTGTTCCAATTTTACAGATAAGGAAATTGAGGCAGACAGTGGTTAAGTGACTTGCCAGCCTGAAAATCTAATCTGTGAGAATGGGAATGGGGTTATGGTTGAGGGTTTGAGGGTTTGAGGGTTTGAGCAGTAACTGTGGGGAATGAAATAAAGGGTCAATAAAAGAATAGCTGAACAATCATTAAGCAGTAGTGAAGCCGTGTTGTAGAACAGAAGTGAGTTGTTCAGTATTAGGACCAGACAGTAGAGATCATATGGTCCTTCCCACTCATTTTATGGAAGAAGAAAAAGAGGACCAGAATGAGAGCCTTTTAATTTGTTTCTCAGAGATGGCAGACTCAGCCAAAGCATTCCATTTGCTCCCATTAAAGGGAGGCCAAGAGAAGGCCCAAGAATCTGACCAGGTCTTTGTCCACTGGTGTTTGTAGCAGCGTCTCTGCCCAAAGCTGATGTATCCTGTTCTTTTTAGGCACTTGGCAGACAGAATGGCGGAGCTTGAGAAGACAATGAAGATGAACCAAGGTCTGCAGGAGAACTGGGAGAAAAGTGCTGAGCTGAAGAGGCATCGGGATATGGAGGAAAAAATCTTTAAACGGTCAGGCTCAGCAAGGGCCCCAACTTTAACTGTTGAAAACAAACAACCAGCTTCTGCCTTGTCTCACTTCCTTGACCTTTCTATCTTTGCCTCTCCTCAGAGGGGCCTTATTCCTCTTTGACTTGCTTTCTGTGTGCCAGTGTTCTTGGCCAAAGAATGGGGATACCCTCAGAGGTTCCCCTCAGTGCTGACAGACAGACAGTAGGAGAGGGAGAAGAAGAAATTTCATTTCTGGAAATGGTGTTGACTGGCAGAGCAGCAATCCAAGTGCCTGGGCAGAGCACTGGTGGATAAGGATGAGGAATAGAAAACGTAGACATTCATTCATTTAGTCAGCCCTGTGTTTACACCTGTTATTGTTAGCAGGACAGTACTAGGCGTTAAAGGAGATAAAAATGGTAAATAAGAACATATTTCCCTCCTCCTGGTATATACATTATAACAGGGCACGTAGGATGCTTGCTATGTGCAAATATGCCATGCCATACTTAACACCTCGGTCTTCTTGTCACTGCCTCTGCTCAGAAACCTCTAATAGATCCTTGTTGCCTAGACAATGAATACAGATCCACAAATTGCTCTCCGCAATCTGGTTTTAACCTACTTTTCTAGTCTTATTTCACCTTTCTTTCCTTTCTGCAGTCCACATTCCAAAGGAAGGGGTGTCATGTTCCCCAGTCTTACCTGCTCTCTCTACTCTGTGCGTTCACGCAGGTTAGGTCATCCACCATACCTTGAATGTCCTCTCTTCTTCATTTCTTGCTACTGGAATTACTGAAATCTTTCCCTTCCTTCAAGCTCTAGATCAGGTGCTACCTCCAACATGAATCCTGCCTTGCCTCCCCTAGCTAGAAGTGATCTCTCTAACTTCAAATTTCCCTAGACCCCTGGTCTGGATCTTTCTTTGGCCCATATCTCACACTTCTTTGTCTTTTTTTATGGTCATTGATAAATGCATATTTTCAGAATAGACAGTAAGCACTAAGCATAATCCTGTGTTATATGTCACATACACTGTGAATGTATAAAACACATATAAAAACACATAGCTTACATGTAGGAATGTATGTGTATATATACAATAGTATATATATTTTACACACTATATGTGCCAATACCCTTCTGTGACTTCAGTGAAATGTCTTGATGACACAGAGTGCAGGGAGGCTGTGTCATAATAATAGCTAGCAATTATACATTATGGTAAAGCTTGTAAAGTGCTTTATAAATATTAACTCATTTTGTCCCAACTACCTGTTTGTAGATAAGGAAACTGAGGAGCCCCAAGCTAAGCCTAGGGTCACACAGCTAGGAAGTGTTTGATGGTGCATTCGAACTCATCTTCCTGACTCCGGGTCCAGTGCCCTATCCACTGCACCATCTAGCTACATCATGGTGGATAGAGAGCCGTGTGTGTGTGTGTGTGTGTGTGTGTGTGTGTACATACACACAAATGTACACACACAGTACATATATATTTAGAGAGAAAGAGATCGTTCTTTTTGCCTCTTCCTCCAATGCTTAGTACTGCGCTACACATAATAGATACTTAATGAATGGCTGAATAAATGAACAAATGTCTCAACTTTCCATTTTTCATCCTTATCCACCAGGCCTCTGACCAGGCTTTTGGATGGCCATTCTTCGTCACCACCATTTCCAGAACTACGAAAAGTCTATGTCTATATATGCCAGCCTTATTATTTCACTGGCAAAGGAAAACTCGTGGTGGGGAATCTTCCTTTACCAATGCAGAGTACCACCTGCTCTGTAACCTATCATCTTGGAGAGTATCCCGGGTCCCATACCCATTGTGGGTTTACACACACACACACACACACACACACACACACACACACACGGGACCCAGGGGCATGGAACTTGAATCCTCAGTCTTCCTGACTGTGACGCCTCTCAGTTCTTTGTATGTAATGATGGATGTTTGCTAAATTGAATGGAAGTGATGGATTCTTGTTCTTTATATTCTTAGGGCTTCTGACAAGTTGTTCATCCTGGATCAATGTGAGAAGTACCGACGCTGTTGCCAGTGTAAGAGGCGTCTGAACAACTGTGGGGAAACTAACCTGTGGCCGATGACCAGACACTTACATGGCTCCAGACTGCTGGTTTAAAAGAAACGTTTGGGCCTGGGTTTCCTGGGGAAAAGTTTTACTCTTTTTGGATATGGTGATGTGACTGTGGACTGCTTATCACACCTCAATGAAAACAATATTACGAGGTTTTTTTTGTGCCTTCGGTTTTAGAAGTCTTTTTCTCTATGTTCTCTGGTAGAGTTCAGATAAAAAAAATCAAATGGGAAAAATAGGTTCCCCCCTTCCTGGTCACCTGCATTGATTTTCGATACTTCTGTCTGCTTGGAGTTGAGTTATAGAGTAGGGTGGTAAGGGCTAGACTACCACTGGCTTAGGGCTCCGGGGAGGGGACAATGGTTATTCCCGTCCCTGTGTTTGGTGGGATTCGTGAGATGTGACACTGGACTGGGACGCTACTGTGTTATCCCTGCCCCATGTGACCTTGGGCAAGTCACTTCATTCTTTTGTGCTACAATAAGCATTATCATAATAAATATTTTTCAAAGTGCCTACCTGTGCGTGGCATTTGATAATGGCAACTGTCCACCCCTTAGCCAACCCTATCTTCTCCAAGGCACTGGAAGCATCGGGGTTGGTGTCATAATCACAGGTGGGGCCCAAGACTGAGAGAGTTAATGGGACCGAGTCGAAGGCTCAGGGGCCTGAGGCTTTGCCCGATAAAAGCAAGAAGGTAGAAGAAGACAGCAGAAAGCCTCATTGAAGATCAAACAGGTTTGAATTTTGGTGGGGTGGTCCAGGCATGTGGGGAGCAGGGGACCAATTTTGATAGTAGTGGAACAAAAATCTTAGAGGAGGGAGAAGTGGAGGTAGATCAGAGAGGGATGGTCCCAAGATAAAAGGACTGGAGGAATCTTGATAGCCCCTTCCCCTCTGCTTCTTAAAGGGGGGCATTTCCTGGTCAGCCCTTGTCACTCAGACAAGAGTTGGTTAGAACATTTCCTCAGCATTTTTTTTTCATCTAGGACACACTCATCAATGTACTGGCACGTTCTAAATATCATCCTCTCCCTTCTCCCTCCTCAGGGTCAACCATCCACTAATCAAGCCACCCATAGGTTTTACATCCAGCTGCACTCCAAACACCACATGTGTGTGCACATAACCTCCATATAGCCCTCCTCTTTCCACCATGCATACTACTGTCTCCTTCCTCTATCCTTCAAACCCCAGTTGGACACAGAAAGGGGAATGAGGAAACCTGAAGTGGTGTTGACACACTGTGATCACAATATTATTTTAAGCAGACTTGGTTTCTTTTTTATACTTTGTCTTTGCTGGTTGCATAGATTGTGCCATCAGCAAACACCAAAGGAAAGTGCATAATCATATTATTACATAGAATACTAGTATCTTAGAGTTGGACAGGACCTCATGGGTGAACTGATTCAGCCCCCTATCTGAAGCATGGATCCCATTCTTGACCACTAGTCATCTAGACTGTGCTTGAAGAAGCCCTCCAATGACAGGGAACTCACTACTTGTGGAGGCATCCTGTTGCACAGCTCGAGTGGCTGGAAATTCTTCATGTTGACCTGAAATTTGCTTCTTTGTAATTTACATCCCAGCCAAGCTCGGTGCTTAATAAAGATCAACACAATTCTTGTCTGTTCTGGATAAACAGGTTGCTGTTTGTTGTTGAGTCATTTCAGCTATGTCTGACTTTTCAGGACCTCATTTGGGGTTTTCCATGGTGGTGTGGTTTGTCATTTTCTCCTGAGACCAACAGGGTTAAGTGACTTAGATGACTCCAAAAAGAGGGATAACACTCTGGCACTTGGATGCTATAGTTTCTTCCATAATAACTGCAGTTTTAGGGCATTTAAAATCATTTATAGAAATCTAGTTTGTCTTTTGTCTTTTTTGTCAATATCTTGTCAACACTGGCCATTCATTGATAATGCAATTTGTGCAAGATGGCTAAAGCTACTTTACAGCCCTGGAATGGTAGGTGGGCATTAAGAATTGAGTGCCGCCCTTGTTCAGATGAGAACGGTTGCAAGCCCACAACCTCAAATATCGTAGAAGTGATGTGCTCCTTTGGAGAGAGATGTATACGTAGACTTAGGCTCAGCATCTGCTCAAAACTCAGAGTGTGTGGAATCTATCACCTCCCAACTGAGCCCACGCTATTGTTATGCAGCTCAGCTTCTTAGGAAGTTGTTCCATGGGCTAAATTATAATTCATCTCTTGGAAGCTCCTACATAATTGATGGATCTTAAGCACAGCGCATAACTATATTAAAAAAGCAAAGACTGAAGCTATAATTTAAGCAGTATATGCAGTCTTGAAGCTTGGGGGAATAAGAAAGGAATAAGCATTTATTAAGTGCCTACTTATGTGTCAGGCTTTGTGCCAAGTGCTTTACAAAAATGATCTTATTTGATCCTCACAACTCTGAGCTAAGTGCTATTATGATCCTCATTTTTTACAGTTGAGAAAACTGAGGCAGACAAGTGATTAAATGACTTTTCAATGTCACCCAGCTCAGAAGTATCTGAAGCTGGATTTGAACTTAGGTCTTCCTGACTAGGCCCAGAAGTCTTATCTATTGTGCCTTCTAATTTAGGGAATTTATATAGGGGAAGAATGTTGGAGAGGCACAAAATGACATCATGTGTTGAGGGAATTAACTGGACCCTGTAAGGTTGAGTGTAGGCAAAATTATGATGTGGTAGCAATTTGTCTTCTTTGCCTCTTACCTCCCATTTCTGTTCTTTGTAAATCTTTATTGACCTTATCTCCTTTTTCAAAAATATTCCTCCCTCCTTCCCTACTTAGTGACCTTTTGTAACAAAAAAAGAAGGAAAAAAAAACAGTTTACTAAAGCTGACATATCACCTGGATCTGATGGCATATTCAGTACTTCACTTCCATAGTCCCCCACCTCTACAAATAAGGGAGAGAAATGCATTTTTCCTCCAAGTCATCTTTGGGGGCAAGTTTGTTCATTGTAATTATGCAACATTCAGGTTCATTTTTTTGTTCTAATTTGTTATGTTTTTATAGTCATGTATATCGTATTCTTGGTTCTGCTTACAATACTTTACATCAGTATATAGAAATCTTCCCATGCTTTTCTAAATTCTTCATAGTTGTCATTTATTCATCCATTTCTCAATCAGTGGACATCTACTTTGTTTCCAGTTCTTTGCTAACACAAAAATGAATGTTTTGATGTATATGGGACTTTTCTTTCTTTCTCTGACCTCCTTGGGTTTCTCTGCCCTTTTAGATACTTAATTAAGTACTGTGTCCACTTCCCCCAAAACTGACTTTCAACAACTGCTTACAACAGCCTTCATCCCTCTTGTTATGAGGAAAGACATTTGCTGGGTCAGTAGTAACTTGGTGTATTTTTGTTGAAGAATCCCAAGGAGTGTAGTAGCTCCAGTGGTGGAATTTCAAGCATTATAGCAGTGGGGTAAAGTAAATATTTTAGCATAGAGTGTCTTTCAAACCCCGTCCACTAAATTACAACAGAACAGAATCCTACATAAGAGGCCAGCCCTTGGGCCTCAGGAATTTCTCCAATAAAGTTTAGTTTAAAAAAGCATCAGACGTATCTATAATTACTGAGTAGAGCACATAGATTTTCACAGAACACAATGCCAATGACAAAACCATCAGGGATGAGGAAACATGACTGAATCAGTGGAAAGGGCTTAAGAGTTGGAGTAAGAAGACTGGGTCCAAGTTCTAGCTCCACACATTTGTCTGACCATGGCCAAGCCATTCCAAGTCTCTGATCCTTGGTCATTACATATGAAAAATAGCACTTATGCTGCTCATTTAATGATGTTGTTGTAGCGGTGAGATAAGATTGAAGGGATGCAAAATCATTTGGAATCTTATTACAGTGCTTGAAAGACCTGTGATTCTCTCCAGTATGGATACTTCTAACTACATATATTACAAACCTTCCATGCTTTAGACATGGAATTATAGTTTTAGAGATGGAAGAGACCTCAGAAACTATCTAGTACAACTTCTCATTTGTCAGATGAGGAAAATGAATTCCACAGGATTGAAGTGATTTGTCCAAGGTCACACAGGAAAAGATCTGAATCCAGGTCCTCTGATAACAGAGTCAATACTCATCCCACTGTATCATGCTGCTGCTTTGTGGCCCAAAGTATTCATTATCTGATAGCCACCTCTAACAGACACCTGATCTGTCTGTCCTTTGGACTGTATTTGAAGCCTATTCCATTTAGAGATTTAATAGAGTTCACATTATGCCTTTGAAAATTCTTTAGCCTTTGCAAATCTAAGATCATAATACCATGATGAGGCATCATAATAGGACTTTACTGTGTACTTATAAGCCTAAAGTGCCATTAAAAATTATCATGATTGATAATAACAACAGTATTACATGTTCTCTAATTTGATTACATATACTCATACTTCTATGACCTCACGGAAGTCAATACTTCTTCTGGTGATGATCTCCACTCATCTATGCTTTCTAATCCTATGCCCTTTTGTAAATCATCATGAAAATCCTTCTGGGTTGGAGGGTCAACCTAACATTCTTGAGTTGTCCTTTTAGATCTCTTGACACTGTTGAGACACTGGTGCAGCACAAAGGCTCTCCTTGTTATCCCTCTTGTTACACACTTAGCACACTTCCATTTGTGGTTATACATTTCTTTGATGTATTCTGCTTCTAGTATGCCCCCATGATGCATCTCTTTATTGTCCTTTAAATAACCTACAATTATAATTATTTGAAGACTGTGGGATTCTATGATTCCTGTGGAACTCCTCCAGTATCATCAAAGACAATACTGCAAAAATACTGTTACTGAAAAGATGAGCCTTTATTCAAGGGAGACACTTAGGGTTATTAAACACATTGCACGATTTCCCCAAAACATTGTAGCTTGATATCTTCTTGTTAATTAACTCTGGGACCACTTCATTGACAATCTGTAGTGTCTGTTCAAGACATTTTACTGATAGACCAGATCGATGATCTATCCATCCAATTTTATAGTACAATCTAGAAAAAGACATTTTAAAAATCCATTTTTCCTGTGTGAATAGCTAGACATCATTCTTTGGAATGATTATGAATCTTATTTAGGTAGCTTTGTAATGTTCTGGCAATTGAAGAAGTTAGCAGTGTTATCTA